TAATTAATGTTGTTGTGAGAATTTAAGTTCAATAAAGGAGAGGTATTTACATCTAATTGATCGTTATGCAATACATTTGAATGTCTCATTTTGTTAATCTCCATGGCTTCCAATAAATTTAATTTTCTACTTTTTGTGGCTGTATGTAAAATATCCAAATTGTCGTCAAAAATGTGTTTTTCTGTGTTTAAGTGTGTAGCACAATTAGAATCGAGACTATTGTTTTTAAACGCTCTTTTATGTTCATTAATGCGTTTCTTGAAGGACCTACCTGTTTGTCCAATAAAAATTTTAGGACAAGATCCGCATTTCAACCTGTAGACACCTGATTTTTGAGATTTTGGACATTTCTTTTTGTTGTTTGTTTAAATTTTTCCTATTGTGTTGTTAGTTCTGAAAGATATTTTTAAACAAATGACAAATGTTTTGAAACTTTTTCACTACGTTCTCCTATGTATGTAATTGTTTTAAATTGTTCGTATTCTGTATTAGGTTTCGGATAAACCTAATACAGAACACGAACAATTTAAATTAATACAACAATACCTCTCCTTCTCACAACAACATTAATTATGGTTTTATTGCCATTTTTCGGTATATATAGTAGCAAGTAGTTCGTAAATATTACATTTGATAAAGACATGGTGTTGTCGAAACAATTGTCATGTAAAAATATATAATTTCGTGAAAATCTGAACTTTTAGTTCTTATTTATTTTGATAAATGGATTTTCATCAAGTAAAAGCCACCTCAGTTCAACAACCGAAGATTTGTAAATAGTAGCCTCTGGACGTTTCTTTGAAAAATTGAGAGTGTGTATATTCTTCGATTTACGACGGGTTTTTCATCGCACGATATGCCGTTTTAACAACCAAAATATTTTCCTAGGAAAGCAATACAAAATCTTATGCAGACAATTGATTTTTAATGGATGTTTTCTCAGTTTGCTATTGGTTGAAATCGTAGTATGCAGTTTTATGAAACAATATTTGGACGTATTTCTATTCCGTCTTGTGATCGTAATTAGTAATTAGTAAATACCAACAATTGTTTTTCAAGACGCAATATGCCATTTTTATTGAGGTTCCATATGCATTTTATTACAATTTATTTCTTACCAAATACTAATATTATTTAATTTTGTTAGTCAGTTGCGATGTCCAGTGACGAAGAAGTTGAGATTGTGGTCGATGACGTAATAATCGATGATGATGAAGATCCGTCAAATTCTAATGGATCAAAGGCTAGGGACACATTTGTCGGTTATAATTTTAAATGTGCTTCTGATATCAACATCTGGGAAAAGTGGAGCCACAAAATTATGTCACAGTACTTGATATAGTTGTGAATGCCAGGACACTTTGTGTGCATTCACACGAAGAATTGGTTTTTATTACAAAACCATCAATAAGGGACAAGTTTTGATGGAATTAAGAAGAGTAGAGGACAAGATATTTGAGAGAAATCCAAGAAATTCGTGCTAAAAAGGTCCCAATCTGAAAAATTGTTTGCCAATATTGCACCAAACAATGTCATCATCGACTAAAGAAGTCATTCAAAATTTTTCGCTTGACAATGATATGTATTTTGAAAATTCCTTAATGGAAGTTCTTACGACGGGAATGTTTGAAACGGGGATTCAAAGTTGTCCGTCTTCCACCATATCACTGCAATTTTAATCCGATAGAACTGACATATGGACAGCTGCAAGCCGGGTTAAGAAGAAACGTCATTGTGAAATTGAACTATATAAATGTTAATATCATATTTAATAACATTGGTTTCTTTTACGTTTATATCATTTTTCATTATTTTTTTTGCCGTGTAATGAAAATATTGATTTTTTAAGCCAAGCGTTTTTTTATTTTTAACTCTATATTGAACGCTAAAACCAATCTTTACCCATTTTGTTCCAGTGGTGCGTTAATGCATAATTTTTTTTTGTCACATCCAGGAAATATTTGTGCACATCCATTTAGAAATTTTATTATTATCACTACTAAAGGACATAAAACCGTAGAAATTGCTAATTTATGTGTAAAGGAAAGATCTTATATATGATTTCAAAAGTTCACATTTTCAAGTAAATCCAAAATAGTAAAAAAAATATTTTCGACTTGTATTGCCATTTTTGTTAAGTCTATAGCGTGTAGATTACAAATACTATAATGGTTATGCTTTATTTTTCGAAAATATTTACTGGTGAAACAAAACTTTGTTATTGCAAGTCTAGACAAGTCAGCGCATATAGAATAAACATCCAACAATTACCGTGTTCTTTAGTATTAGTTTGTGTTTTGTGCAGTGCACGTTACAGTTCGTAAAATATAGCATTTCCGAGGTATTTGACTCATAAGGTGGCTATGGAGGAGATCGTGATGGATAAGGACAATAACAATGAAAGTCGTAAGTATTATTTGGATTTACGTATTCTTATGTATTGTAGCATTCCATTTCTTGTAAATTTATGCTAAAAATAATGTGAAAAAATATTGACAGAACATATTGATGCGGTCTATATTCCACCCGAATTGGATACCTTGACCGACGAAGAAGATATGAACGATAACATAAACCTACAAGAGTTTGGTTGGAACTTTCGAGTTACATACACCGAATGATACAGCTGTCCTTCAACAGTCCTGTAATTCATCAAGTACTGAACCTGAATGGGACTCATCAGATGAAGAAACCCTGGAATTCAAAAGATGACGTATGCTTTCTGCAAACGATAGGCTTGCTTCTAGTGTCAAATGGAAGAAAGATCAGATTGAATACACTCACACACCTATACCCGATGAATTTAGATCATGTGAGGAACTAAAAAATAGGCTCTCTGGAAAAACTGCGCTTGATGACGAAGTGATTCATTTGATTTTAAATCTTACATTGCTTTGCGACTTTTAAAAATTGATAGAACAATTACTCAAAGAAATCTTGCATCTGCCATAGATGAAGTGCGTTAGGATAATCAAGGTCACCTCATGATTGTTCATGCTAATAAATCCCGAAGGAGATGTAGAATCTGCCACAGCCACACAAGTGTAATGTGCATTTACATACTTCATGCTTTGTAAAATATCACCAAAAATTAAACCGGGTGTTACCAGTGGTGCGCTCGCGGACCGTAAAATATTACACGTTTTTTGTATCAAATCAGGTTCTATTCGGAAAAAATATACTTTTAGTTGTTTTCTGTCGAATTTGAACCTTCTTTTGAAACATTATTTAATGTTTTTTTCCAATGGTTCGTTTACGCACCTGTATTTTTTTTGTATGTTTCGACTTTTTATTTTATTTTTTGACACATGTAATGTATTCTTAAGTGCAACAAAATAAATAATTTCAGAGTAAAAAATTATTTTTTTATTCTTTTTTATGCTTGTTAATGAGTCATTTCGAAATTCCACCTTTTGTTAGTAAAATTCCTAGTCATAAATTGTACAATTGCGGCCAACATCCCAGTTTTCATGTCCCATAAAACCTAATAGTGATTTACCTACTTCAATGAAAGGGTTGCACCACCAAAAAATAGTAAACGGCACGTCTCGAACGATTTACCCGATGACTCATACGCCTGGCAACAATGCCAACAACCGAGGTTTCCCGTCTATAAATACTGCGTCCCGGCGCGTCCCCGCTTTGTAGGCACACGACCCGACACCTTGCCTTGTTATTCAAAAACCGCAACGCGTATTAGGAATTTATTGGTGTAATTATTTTGACAGACTTCTCTCAAATATCCAATCGAGCGATTAGAACGATCAAACCTATTGTTTTTTTACAAACATAACCGAAAACTTATCTGTTTTTGTACTTCAACTATTGCCATAATTTTTTTTTGCTTCAACACCACAGACGGACGCTCAAGCCATTCATAAAATTACTGTTGTGGAGAAAATAATTTCCGAGAGGGGCAATAAATTATTGACGTGTGAGATTAAAATTTAAATAACAATTTCATTCAAAATAGTTAAATAAATAAATTTTACACACTTTTAGAGATAATGCAAACCGCATCTGCCTTTGAGTGGTCTTTGGAAATCAACAATGGATAATACTACGCACAAATACACAAAACGAGAAAATAAGTACATCCACCTATGAAACACGTCTTTGATTTGTTTGCTTTTTGATATCAGCCTTTGTAACATATTATTACTTTCAAAAAAATCACCTTTCCCACAAAAAATGGCCGAATATTTCTTTAAAAAACCGTACATTTTTTTTTTAAATAAAAACAAAAACTGGGGCTGCAAAAAATAGCAAAATTTTGTAATTTCAAATAAACTGTAACCCATCAAACGAAATGAGAAATTTAATTTGCTGTCAAAAAACAATTGATTCATTGAACTGTATCAAATGTGAATTTAGGATTAGAAATTATAAATACAATAAAATAAAACTTGTTAAAAATTGAATACGTTGTAACTTTGGTTATTTTAAATTTTAGGAAAATTTTTATTAATTAACATCTGTGTTCTAACAAATATTTGTGAACGTTATGACTAAAAATATACAGGGTGTTCGATTTCTTTCCAAATGCCTCTTTCTGATTTATTCGGAAATGAGATATTCACTAATAGTAAAAAATACCATTGAACTGCAAAATAAGTCGTGGGAAAAATCCGTGAAACTCCAAATTTTCTTATAAGGTATTCATGTAACATTCATGGAACACAGAACACAGTGACTGCTTACAGTTTAAATTTTAAACATCAAATCAAAATTCAAAGCGTTCAAATTTCCCTGAATTTTCCAAATTTTAGAGATGTGTGTTTATCTACCATATTGACAGACGACCTCAGAAGTTGAACTTGAATTTTTTGCAATTTAATCCCAGATTAATATTATTTAATATTGATCAAAGTACCTCGTGCTGTGATAACCAATTAATATTACCATTATATATTACCCAAGTAGAAGTCTTTTGCTTAATTTCTTCTTAAACTTTAAACCGCTTTTAATACAAGGGTGCGAAAATAATAATGGAAACTTACGATTCCTAGGAATACTGATATCGAAGCCGGGCATCGTTTGGATTTCGTACTCTTGTTCTCCCTCTAGAGCCCAACATTCCTGTGATAAGAATATAAATAGTCTCATAATATAAAACTACACCAAGCCGGTGCATCAAAAAAACTTACGGGATCAATATCCACTGCTAAAGGAACTTTCATACTCTCATCCGGTTGAGGCAAAGACCTCACCATGTTGCTCTTGTTTGTCTCAACACTGACTCCTACTGTAACGCTTTCATCACTATCATTTTCGTCTGAAGATATTTCCTCTAGTTCTTCCAAAGGATCGTCGTCGTAAACTTGCTCCCTACAAGAAATGGGTTCCTCCGCTCCCGGCAGAAGAAAGCAAATCAATTCCATCCTACTCACAATCTACAAGGACCTCTTATTCAATGCTAAAAATTAAACCAGAATTCCTTTCTCACTTCGTCCATGCTTGGCCGTTTGTTAGGGTCCTGATTCCAACTCTCCGTCATCAGACTTTCGATGGGGGCCGGGCAGTTGCGTATCAGCGGCGGCCTTCTACCTTTGTGAACTGCCCACATTATGCTAAAAGCGGAACTACCCCCTTGATTATAGAAAGGTTTCCTACGGGAAAGGACCTCCCACAGTATGATACCCCAGCTGAAGATGTCGCATCTCTCTGTATACTTATTTGAAGTAAAAACCTAAAAATTCATACTCGTATGGGCCTACGATCGTTAAAATAAAAAATAAATAGGTTAGGGCTGATAACTGATGACGAGCAAGTCTGCTATTGCTATTGAAAACCCCTGTTAATTCGTACAATAAAAACACTATAGACTTACTAGATTCTTCGAAGTACTTTTTAAGAGTTCTGGAAAGCGGATGGAAGTTAGTAGTTCCACTGGAAAATTTGTTTGTTATCATATAGCTACTAGATATAGATTTTAAAAAGGTCTATTCAACAACCAATATGGCCGCTGACAGATCGTCAATAAGTTTGAATGTTGCATTTTTAAAGCAGTATTTTCTCAAAACAGATCCAGATCCATCTCCTGGCAAATAAGAAAGAAAATGGCGCAAATTGCAGATTAGTGGGTGAAATTTAAAAGCGCGTGTGGAAAATTATTTCCTTTTCCACGAAAATATCAACGCCGCCTACGGCGCTTCAACTTTTACCGTCCTGAAGTTGCTACATTATCTAATAGCTCTATGGTTGTGACGATAAGTAAGCCGGGCTAATAAGTGTACTCTGTACCTGCTTATATATTGTTTGAGGGGGGCGGAGCTAAATGAGGACCATAACCACCGCCTCGGATGACTGATTCCCATATTCGTGACAGATAAAGACCTGAGTCGCGGTTAAGATTGTTAGGTTGTTTATAGATTTCTATAGACTCTCGGATTTTTTGTTGGTAGAAGAATTGATTACATGCAAGAAGTTTAGTTTTATCGAATAAAATGTTATGTCCGGTTCAGTGATTGTGTTCGACAACAGCTGATGAGTTTGTTTTCTTAGTCGTAAGGCTCTTTCGTGTTCTTTGAGCCTAGTTGATATTTTTCGTCCGGTTTCTCAAATGTATTCTTTGCCGCATATGCATGGAATGCTGTAAACTCCTGGCATCTCAAATGGAATTTTATCTTTGACGAATCGAAGGTGCTGAGAGATTTTTGGACAAGTGGTAAATCTGGTTTTGACATTATACGTCTTTAGAACTTTTGATATGTGGTCAGTGATAGTTTGAATGCAAGGGAACTACAGTGGCAAGTGTAGGATTGCCTTCGGCCTCGTTGCCCCAGCAAAAACCGACGCAGGAGGAATCCAGAGGAAGTTTCCTTGAAAAATCGGTACAATTTATGTCACATGTCCATGAAGAACAAAAAAAGAAATTTAAGAATCGAATAGAAGAAACATTGGCCCTAAAAGAAAGAATACTGCTTTGAAAGAATAATAGTGCAAAATTTGATAACATAGAGGTAAAGGAAAGAGCGAGCAACATTATGAGGGGACAGAATAGGAAAGTTTAAATCGATGAAGACATTCCAGTGGACATAACTAGTATATTAAGTTGCATTAGACTGAAGAAATGCACGCACAAATTTCTCAAATTGATTGTGCAATTGATTTTTTTTTTTAATGTATTGTGTAATTATAATTATTATTACATAATACATATTATTATTATTCAAGAAAGTACAAGACTGAAAAGGAGTATTTTGTAGTAATTGGGTTATATACCTGCATAATCATGCTGCACCTGTCAAAGTAAGAAGAGAAGATATTTATTGATAAAATTAAGAAATTAATACATTTCTGGAACTGAACAACATCTCAGCCGATTATAAAGCAACGCAATTGTGTACGAAGATTTACCAGACGGGATTTTCGTTGATAACGATGAAAGTGCCATTAGTGCCATGCATATCAATATGAGAAGTTTATATTAAAATTTTAAAGAGTTTTTAGTGTTTTTGGATTCAAAAACACATTTCAGTATAACATAACTTTTTAACAAGAGCAAAATATGACGGTTGTGCTGTTTATTTAAAGCAGGATTTGTATATGAATTTCATATCAGCTATTCAGATGGAGAATTCAAGATTATAAGGGCAGCCCTAGAGAAAAATAATCTACTGGTTAACATCCTATACACATAAACAGAACTTACATCGAGGTACTGCTATAATGACTGTAGTATTTAATACTAAGAGGAACTCCCAACAATTTAAATAAGTCAATCAACTAAAATTTTAGAGCAGAGGGGAGTAGATTAGCAAAAGGACGAGGGGGAGTGTATCGTTTTACAGACGATTTGGGTGTGATTCCAGAACACAAAAATACTAGCAGATATTGCTCTACAAAAAATAAAAAGTTCGCTGGATATGAGTTTAGTCTCATTTAATATTGAAAGAAGAAAATTTGTTGCCTTGTCACGCTCTTCGCGTTTCCAACGTGAAGTACTTGAATAATAGTAACTGTTAGTTACTTAGCCTTTCAAAATTGTGTCTGTAATCAACGCAATGAAGAAAAACCTTAATATATTGAGGGATAATTTTTGATGATGCATTGGGTGGAGTCAATAATAAAATAGGTATTGTTGTTTTTATTATTTAGTTCCCAAATATTTTAATAGTCTTCCTATAACATTAGAACAATTAGAACAAAACCGTATTCACAATGTAAGAAAAAAATCAAATAATGGATACTGGAAAGTAACTTGACGATTAGTATTAGAATTTGAAAATCTTAATAATTCCTAACAGCATATACTTGGACTTTCAAGAATTTTGGGATTGAGGTTTTTTGGCATTTATGTATAAAGACTGTCCAGTTAGTTAGTGGACCACACTATAACAGCATATTGTAGGTCCAAAAAAAGCCTTAGTTTTCTAAATAGACATATTATGTCGGAAAACACCCTAACGGAACCACTAGCTTTAAAACGAATGGACCTGTGAATGTTTTTTTAAATATTTTTTCCAGTTTTGAAATTTTTGCAATTTTGTAATGCTGAATCTGATTAAATTATTAAATTATAATTGTATAAATTATAAATGTCAAATTTTGGTCATCAACATATCTTTTGAGGGGTACAGGTAACAAAAAATAACTTTTAACATAGGTAATAGGTTAATAGGTCCTTTTATTTTGGCACAAATAGATTAAATGCTAATGCTTACTCAAATTTCCTTACAAATGATCTGGCCCAATTGTTAGGGCATATTCCCATACATACCGAAGATAATTTTTCAGCATAAAGGAGTACAATTTGGTCAGGGTTTATGAAACTGGGTTGACAAAAATTTTGCAAAAATAGATAATCTGAACAGTTACTAAGGCAAATTAATGCTGCAAACAATCGCTTCGAGATTCTTCGAATCTCAAAATATTAGAATCTGATTGACTGTATTTACAATAATGAAAATGAGATCGAGAAATTAATGTAAATTAGTGATTTTTCATTTTTAGCCATTCAAACCGGAATTCTGAATTAAACATACTGGTCAATGGGCCTTTCGGGACATATGTTTAGAAAAATAGGGCCTATTTTGGGCACAGAGTATGCTGTTTTTGTTTGGCCCACTAACACCCTGTATATGTATAATAGTTTTTTTTGTATTGTTATCAGTCTTCTGTCAGACCTACCTTAAAGGTAAAATTAATCAGGGAAAAGTGCACACACAATACCCAAGGTACAATCCTGCAAGAAAGTTGCAGTCTAGAGATGTTAATTTAGAAATATTTTGCAATTTACTGTTAATTGTATTGTTATTGCTACCACTAATAATAAAAAATAAATACAAACTAACCTCAGGAGCCATCCAAGCCGCCGAACCCTTATTATTTGTCATATATGTATTCTTATCAGCAGCTGTACCAAAATCGCAAATTTTTAAACTGATTCCTCCATTAATAAGCAGTAAATTTGGAGGTTTAAGATCCCTGTGAATCAAAGGTTTTGGTTTCATGGCGTGCAAGTATTGAACACCCTGAAATTGTTTTTAGTAAGTACAACTCTTTAATAACGAATTAAATAATACCTTAGCGCACTGGTACGCCCAAGACATTGCATGGGCTAAAGTATAGTCATACGCCGACTTGTGCAGGACATTAAACAAAGATCCTCCTTCGGCATATTCCATAACAAGGAAGAATTGGGCGCCTCTAGTGCACGCCCCATACAATTTAACAATATTTTCGTGATCGACTCGAGACAGTTGCCGTACTTCGACCAGAAAAGCTTTCCTTTCGGCGTCCCTCGTTATATTTTTGACGGCGACTTGTTTGTCATTCCATATTCCTTTGTAAACAACCCCGAAGCTCCCTTCGCCGACAACCTAAAATTGTAGCACTTGAACGACGTGCCGTCATTTCCATTTAGGGATACGGCTAAAATATTATAAACATAATCCTACCTCTAGGATATCTAATTCCGAAGCATCGATTTCTCTGACGTTATATTGACTTTCATTTTCGCTGTGGTCCGGAGAAGCCATCGAAATTTATTTAGTTACATTTCGTTTGAAATTTGAAGTAAAACGTAGAAGTTTACAGACTGTTGGAAAAAAAATGTTTTTCACATAATTTTGAAGTTTTTGATAAAAATCCTAAACGTCAACTTTGTTCTTCCCGTTTTGACATTGACTTTTTTCTTCCTTTTAACAGTCAAAATGGGAAATTAACAAGGGATATCCGCTACACGGATATGGGGGCACTTGATTAAAGTGCAAGAATAAATTCTAGAGGCATGCCGCTAATAAGTAATTATCCTAAGAAAGGTGACTAATAGAATATCAAAAAGAAAAGAAAAGTTCTATAGTTGCAATTGAAAAAATACATCGACGGAACTCGGCATGAGGAGGAATAAGTTTTGTTCTGTGGTCAAACATAATGTCAGTTTTTTTTGCAAACTGTGCAATGTGCATCCGATACTGTCAAAATGGCGGAAAAAAAGCGGGGTAAAAAGCGTAAAGAGGTAAGAAATTAATACATTTTAAAATTAATACGATTTAAAATCGAGAAAACTAGCATTATCCATGTATTATTGAGATAAAGTATCGTAAAACATAAATTCCCATCTTAATATCGCGAAACAAGTGCAATTGCGGAACTATCAAAAGTAATGACGTTGCTGCTTCCAATGTTTTTACGTCTGAAAAATAATCGCCGATTCTCCATTTATTTAATTAATACAATTGCAAACGATTATTAAATTTACAGAGGTTAGGGGTCTTTATTTAAAAGTGAAAACACAGAAACATTGATGCAATCGTCTATTTGAATCATATGACTATGTTACACAGAAAACTAGAACGTATTTAAAAGTATGGTCTCTTGTATATCAGCAAACGATGTATTTTATTGCTGTCTTAAATTAGACCCTTAGAAGGCTCATACTTTTGCTTAAATACATGAAGGATTTTGTGGTTGCACGTGTTTATATTTTAATGAACTCAACGCTTGTCAGCTAAATTTTTTGGCAGCAATTTTCTTTCAGTATTTGTTGTAAAAATTAACATTATTGGTAAGATTTCAACTGATAGATAAAAGTGTCATTGAAGGGGATTAAAGTTTATTATTTTAAATAAACGCTCTTTTTTTCAAAGAAACTTCCACAGGCAACTTACTGTAATACTATTTAAAAATCTTACGGATTTCTCCTGCGTTGGATGTTGGCGAATCGAACTTGCAGATGTTTTGCCAATTATCCTGTTTCAGTTAAGTTCTGAAGAAACCAGCAGGATGGTTGGCGAAACATCAGCAAGTTCGATTCATCAACAACCACCAGGAAGAATCCAGAAGATTTGTAAATGGTAAACTTTCACACGTATTTATTTCTTAAAAAATCATATGTGCTCTAAAGGTAGTTATTTAAAATCTGCCTATAATTAGGAGGGGATATTATAGTTTCTTTGTGTAGGAGTACATGCTGCCCGGCCAAGAACTGGGCAACAAGCCTACGAAGGAGGAATTCAATATAGCAAAATGGATGAGGAAAAATGTTCCTATCAAAAAAACCAAATTTTTGAATCACAATGTGGAGTATTTTACAGGTGATCATTAGATGAGATTTCATAGTTTTCAGATACATTGCTTACTTTGTTTAGGAAAAAGGGCGGTGGACGCTCTCATGGAATCTAATTACGCTAAAGGTGAAACCCCTTTGTTCAGATCGCGTAATGAAGTGGTAGATTATCTTCACGTTATGCTTGAGCATAAGTTTTATCATCGCGCTATTAAAGTACCAGTATCGGAACAGGAACTGCGTGGGAAAAAAAAGGATAAAAAAAAGGAATCTGAATCCAGTGATGAGAAGAAAATTTCAAAAGAAAAGGAACAAAATAAGGGTACTGATGCGGAAAGCAGTGTTGTAGAAAGTAAAGATGTTGGCTCCCAGGTACTTAATATTGTCCTTAGATATGTTGTAGGCTTTACTTTAGTTTTAACCGTTTTAGTCCGAGAAAGAGAAGCGTAAAAAGAAAATCCGTTTGGAAATGCATAATGATCAACATTTCGTAGACAATCTGGACGCTTACGTTTGGATCTATGACCCAATCCCTTTTTATTACTGGATAATCGGAACATTGCTAGTGTTGGGTGCTATCGGGGTATGTTTGTTCCCGTTGTGGCCTCCATCTGTTAGATTGGGAGTTTACTACTTGAGTGTGGCGGCCGCTTGCTTCTTGGTCTCAATGATTGCGATGGCCATAATTCGGTTGATAATATTCTGTCTGATTTGGGCGGTTACATTGGGAAGGCATCATTTGTGGATATTGCCGAATTTGACGGAGGATGTGGGATTTTTCGCATCATTTTGGCCGATATACACATATGAATATAGAGATCCCGGGTCCCAATCTGCTTTGGATAAGAAGAAAAAGAAGAAGAAGAAGAAGGATAAAGACTCTGATGCCGAAGAGGAGGCTGATGTTAAAGAACAATTGACGGGAGGAGATAAACTATTAAAAGAACGAGATGAAGAAGACAAAAGGTGAGTAACCATGCGATTTGTTCAGGAGATATGTCAGAAACTTGAAACAAAATGTTTCCTCAAAATTGCTGGCAATTGATTCTATGTGATAAATGGATGATTTATATATATATATATATATATATATATATATATATATATATATATATATATATATATATATATATATATATATATATATATATATATATATATATATATATATATATATATATATATATTTATTTTCCTAATAAATTCATTACCGTAGAGGGGCTTTTACCAGTCTTGCTCTTTTCTTCAAAGTAGTCTAATCATTTTACGAGTAGGAGCCATGAGGCAGCCACAGGGATCCCAGTTCATCTCTATTTTTCCCCAAAATCTTACTCATCTGACAGACTTGGGGAACATCTTCCATGTCACCGCAGAACTTTCTCCAGCATGTGTTCTTCCTCTTTTTAATGAGGCTTTTGAACATTTGGGATTTTTTGTAGAGCTCTCGATCCCTCATCTCCACCAGTCACGGTTACCCTAGAGCCGCCCATTCTTTGCTGGAGAGAATGTTCTGTTAGTTCTTATCTTGTTCCAAGATGGGATTGCTCATGCACTGTCTAGACCTTCGTGTTGTTTGTTCAGATTCTGATACTGTCTTTGAGCCGTTGCTTTTTGAATTGCATTGATTGCATTGATACAGATTGTGATCAAAGTGACATGAATCAAGTAATTGAACTGCATCATCTCGAACTTTATGAATTGATAGTTTTTTTTAATGGAATGTCATGTGTCACTCACTCTATGCAAGATCTACAAAGGATGCAAGTGTATAAAGATGTTTTTCAAAACCTTTCGAAATATTACTTGGGAAGTGATCTATAGCTAGATTTGTTTTATCCTTTCGAAATTCAAATTGGTTCGTAACAAATGAGTTTTCGACTCAAAGGGTTCATTAATTTTATTTTTAAGTTATGGGGGGGTAGTTATTACAATCACTAACAGAGCCGTTACCCTTTGAGGCCTCTGCTTTAGGAAATTAGCTAGCGGCAATTTTTGGTTTTATCAACTTTCTAATTATATTTGTAATTGTTTTTATATAATTTGGTATTGATTCCTTTTGGGTCATGGCTTATCAGCATCACTAAAACTTGTAGGTTTGAATTTAAAAGTTGGAATGTTATATGTTAAGTGAAAAAACCTGGTAATGTGAATTTTGTTAGAAATGTCGAGGTCGATCCGGATGGTCAACAGGAGAATGCAGGAGGATCCGAAAGTGAAAGTGAGTCGAAGTCGAGTACGGGTAAAGATTTCGAGATAGTCGACGGTAACGACCTGGAAGAATCTTAACGTTTAAACATATACATTTAAATTATGCTAAATATCGCACATAACAAAATTAAGGAGTAGGTATTTCGAAAATGTGTGGCTACTTACGAGAATGTGGTATGGGTAAGATTGCAGATATATTTTTCGGCTGTAATCGTTTGTTGAGATTATTTAAATTATTTAAAAAACGTTACGAGAGACATTTCTTATAAGTTATGAACGACTTCCATGAATTTACCCGAAAAAGTAAAATATATAATAGCGTTATTTTTTTAGATTGAAAGGTACCGTGTATATATACTTTAAATGATTTTATAGGGATTATAGATAAAATACGCAAATAGGTGGTCATGTGCAATGGATACAATTCGCTTTGCTGCCAATGTGATCGAGTGTAAACTAAATGTTAACTCCAAAATATGAATTTTCCGCAATTCTCACAGAAAATAATAATTGATAATAATTTTGTTTGGAAAAATTGTACCATAATCATGACTTTGATACAAATATTAAGGCTTTCGGAAAATACAAATATTTTCTTTTTGGGTTCTTAATTTTAAATCCTGAGGATAAGTTTTTGAAAAAAGGTTACACCTATGTTGTTTTTATTTTATTTCTGCATAATTGTTGTAAATTTATTCAAAGTGTTTAACTTGGAATTTTAGAATTCGTTCAATCCAAACGTTAAACAACCAACAACCGACTAAAATACAATCCAATAAAATACTTACAGTGTTGGTTCTTATCAAAAATTTAAGCACAACTGGGAGACCGTTTACCGAATGGAAGATAAGTTTTACATATTACACATACATATATATAAAATTTAACTTACAACCAGAAATACAAACCCCAAAACACGTGTCACCCACTACATACAGTTTGCAACAGAATTGAATTACACCAATAAGTGTCGTTCTTTTGGACACTGGTGATAAGCGGTTGTAGCGCAAACTATAATGATTTTGTTTTCCGATTTAACACGAACATCTATTTTTTGTTATCTATGATAGTGATCTGCGAGCCGTAGTTGACACTTGCGCTTTTTAGAAAGTAAAATGCATTTATTTTCTCCATTTTAGAGTTTTATTTAAGTTTCGGTTTTTACATAGGTTATGTACTAGAGTATTGAATAAAAAAATGTATATATGCCCCGAAGTCGTTTTAATTCAGTTTCTCCATCACTTGTTTGAGCATTTGGTTGCACAGCGCTGCGTAGGGATTGATTTCTATAAGCTGAAAAAAAGTTTTTGGCTACTACTACACAAGTCGGCCAGCTTACAACCATTTTGCAATTTGTGTATATACAAATAAAATTAACGATTCCTTATGCAATTACATACACTATTAACTGACACAAAAACAGGTTAACCGGAAAATATGTGTTAAGTACTGAAAAATGCGCAATGATTCCCATAGAATCTTTTAAATTTTACTTATTTTTTCTATGAGAGCAATGTACTGGATGCATTGTACATGGCAGGTTGTGCCTAGTCGCTCTTTACAAAATCCGCTGTAATATGTTAAAAATACTTGTTATAGGTCTGCTATATTTGTGTCATTGGACGAAAGTTTAATCGTTTATGTTAACAATTCATAGTATGTGTCAATCTGTGACCGAAAGGGAAAAACATCCTCGACAAAAATCTGCAATAGGCAAGTATAGCTAGTAAACTTGTCCAGGAGAAGTGTTTATTGAATAAGAAAAAAAAATAGGTTACATAAAGGTATTGCTACCTGACTTTTAGCCAAAGTGCTTCCCATCTTTGCCGCTACCTCGAAGTCTCTCCTGGCCTGGTCCATGTCGTCGGCCCTTCGGTGCAGCAGGCCCCTTTGTAAGTGAGCCCGGCAGGTGGTTTTTTGGTGTTTATCGGTGCATAGCTTAATCGCCGTTGATAAATCGTTGAGGGCCTCTAAAAGTAATACGAAATTAAGAGTTTTGCGAATTAGTTGCAATGAAACGTTTTTTCACCATCAAATCGTCGCATGTACTGGAAAACACCCGCCCTGTTATTGTAGAGGGAAGGTCTTTCAGGTGCGATATTAATCGCCTCGGTCAACAACTGCAAGCCAAATTCGAGATCTCCCTTTTCTGCGCGTTCCACAGCTTCCATTTCCATCTTTTTCGTTTTTAACACTAAGTCGTTCTGCTCCTCGTCATCTAAACTCAGTTCTTTTTATTATGACATCTGCGTTTAGCCTTTTTTTTTCGCGGTAAGAGAAACGCGGGGTTCTGTTATATGTATATTTTTAATAATAAAGCAATTAGGTTAAATCAGATCCCTGCCGTTATTTTTTTTAAATCATTAAACCTTTTGAACCTTCCTCTCTAGGAAGTTACTCAATTAGTTGAAACAGATTTAGTAACAATAAAAAAAATTGTGTTTTTTTAATAAAAAAGTAGGTTTTTGAGTAGTTATCCCATACGGCTATTGTATAATATAGAGATCCTACTATGGTAAAGATTGATGCGCCGCAGGTGGGTATATTTTTGTACAGTTGCGAACCATCTGCGCATGCGTCACCTCTCAACTGACTAACTTGAGACATTGTCGTAATTTTTCTGGAAAACTGATTTTTATTTAAAAAAAATCCGCACATTATTGGCAACGCCGAGCCTTGTTTAGTGTCACAAAATATTAGTAATCCGGGGCATGATACGTTTCATTTTTGGTGTTTCAAGATTATCTATGTACCTTTTTTGTAAGTATTGTGTGTTATGTTTAGAACGGCGCTTGCATTTTACGCCGTTGAAGGTAAACAAGCGACCAGAATCGGGTTACAATAACTACTTTTCTGCTGTCTCATTTTGAGTCGATAGCGAAACGAAACAGTGAAAAAACTCGAGAAAAAAAGAAATATGTGCAAATATAGCAAAAACCGCGTCCCTGTTCGACAGATTCGAACTTTTCATAGTCAATTTTTTTTAGTTCGATCTTGCGATATTTCTGCAGAAATGTTAATATAAATAAGAAAATTTTTAATTTAGTACTGACCTTTCAATTCAGTGGCTCTCACTTGATAAGCTTCTACTATAGGAAGGTGGGGATTAAAAATGCACGTCAAAACGGCCTTGTCGTGATCGCATAACCCTTCCATCTTGGCGCTTCAAATCAAACTACGCGTTTAAGTTCAAAAACAACTTTAACTCTCCATTTAACTACTAGGAAATGTATCAAAACCAGTTGTTCCGAGACTTATTTAATTTGAATAAACTATGCGAATAAATTATTAAAAAAAAACACAATAACATGAAAAACGCTTTATTGCCAAACGATCTTTCTGTCGTTTCCTAACCCAACTTTGCCTGTGGCTAACAACATCAGAGCCTTAGGATAAGCTCTGTGTTCGGCAGTTTTTATCCTTTCGGTAAGACTCTCTTCAGTATCATCTATCATGACGGGCACCGTTTCCTGAGTGATTATCGCACCGGAGTCGATATCGACCTAAGAAAAATGATACGATATTGCGCAGAAACAATCCAAACGAATTTTTTGATTCGCAACCGAAACCACAAAAAAGTTTCATCCAAAAGTTATGTACCGTGAAAATCACTACAAAAAGATCGCGGTTTGAGCGAATCGATTAATATACAAAAAGGACAGACAATTAATTTGCTAATAGCTTTTCGATTTTTAATTGTTAAAATCATTTTCATTGGAAGATGACGCCATGGAAACGCGGATGGCTGAAATTCTTTGACATTTTTTTTAAATAAACCTTGATAAATACAAAATGAAATAGAGAAACACAGAATTAACGAAGAAAACAAAATACTAGAAGAAAAAATGATACAAAGGAAAAAGTGATCAAGGGTGAAGTCAATGGGACCCGAGATAGTTTTGTTTTTTTTTTTAAAAATTCAGTGTAGTCTTGACTATAAATATTAATTATTAATTAATTAAACATAAATTTATTTTGGCAGGACTGCATATTGGAAGTTTAACCCTTATAAGAGTAATGGTGACCAAATTTTAAAACTTTTACTTCCCGTTTATTTGAAACTAAGAAGGTTGTCGTTACTTTTATAAATCAAAATGGTTTTATAAAGACAAGGAATACAATTTCCGTTACCGTCATAAAAACTACCTGCAGTATTTTTTTTATGGAAATACTTATGTCGATTTGAAAAACATAACAATGGCCGCCACATTCAGTTCGCTTTTTAAAAATTAATAGTTTTAACTGGGCTTGCAAGTAATATTAAACACTATCTAGGTGTTTCATGACAATATTGCTCTTGCACTTCTAAGATGATTTTGGAATACTTATAGTTCCATAAGTTACATAAAGTTAAAAGTTATTATAAAACTAAAAGTAGCCGGAAAACCAATTGAAAACTATTAGCACGCTAATGTCAAATGTCAATTATGCAATCATAACCTCTTTCGTTTAGTTCTTTATTTGTTTTTGAAAGAAGTGTGCTTAGTTTTTTATAAATATCTATATTAAGTTTAGAATTAAGCCAAAAATACTTTTTAAAATTGTGTAAACGAAAGAACTTAGGGGCGTTGTAACTGTAGAATATTTATTACATAACGGTTTTACGGAGTTACGAAATCCCACGGGTTAAAATAATACATTTGAGAACGCAACAGAACCTGAAAAAAAAATAAGCAACGTAAAAGTGGTGGATGCAATATTATAAAACTTAAACTATTTTGCTATTGATCCGGTGTCTTACAAAATTTTAGGCGTGTGAAGTTAGCGACGAAGAAATAAATCCAAAAAAACAACAGAATTTGGGGGGGGGGGGGGTCATCTGGGAAACAAGAAAACCACTACCAGATCTAGAATGTTAGTTAAATGGAACTTACTTCTACGAAATGTACGGTGCACCCACTGACCCTAACTCCCGCATCCAGAGCTTGTTTCTGGGCGCGAGTTCCTTTAAATGAGGGCAACAGAGAGGGATGGATGTTGATCAGCCTTCCGTGCCACTTCTCCACGAACTCTTTGCTCAATATTCTCATAAATCCGGCCAGACAAACTAATTCCACCCCCGACGACACTAACTCTTTATCCATCGCCATATCGAAGTTGTACCGGCTATCAAAGTCTGAGTGATTTAATACCTGAAAAAAGTCCTCTATAAAGTTGTTCTCTTTGGACCTTCTCTCTGAGCACTTTTGTCGTAATCCCCGCCCTTTCGGCTCTTTTGAGTCCTTCGACGTCTCCTTTATTCGATATAACCAAAACTATTTCGGCTCCGATATGTCGGGTGGGGTCTCGAGTACTATCGATAAGCGCTTGCAAGTTGGTACCGCTGCCCGATACGAGCACTGCCACCTTTTTTTTGGTTTCGAGGAGACGGGACATTACTTGCGGTACAAACTGACGCATCGACTTCTCCAATACCTCGCTGAAGTTATTGACAATCACTTGCTCTAAAAGTACAATTACAGTTATGTGCCGTCTAGAGCTAAAGCGATCCCTTTTCCTAGGGACTTTTTTCACCTCTTTTGAAATTTCTCCCTTATGTTATTTTATTGGTTATTAACTGGTTACTTTGAGCCTGACTATATATATATATATATATATATATATATATATATATATATATATATATATATATATATATATATATATATATATATATATATATATATATATATATGTGACACTATATTCCGGGATATCATCCGTTCGCTCGCTGGAATCCTGCATCCGACTGGAATCCTGCAGACGTTTCGCCAAAATCCCACTTGGCATCTTCAATGCTCGCGCTCCGAAAACACTTCGAACACTCGGAGCGCGAGCATTGAAGATGCCAAGTGGGATTTTGGCGAAACGTCTGCAGGATTCCAGTCGGATGCAGGATTTGCAGGATTCCAGTCGGATGCAGGATTCCAGTCGGAGTTCAACGAGCGAACGGATGATATCCCGGAATATAGTGTCATCATATTTTTCCATCCGTGAATCAATACGTGAGAATATATATATATATATATATATATATATATATATATATATATATATATATATATATATATATATATATATATATATATATATATATATATATATATATATATATATATATATATATATATATATATATATATATATATATAAGCGTTGTATTGCAATGGAGAATATAGTTTATGTAATCTTAAGACGCAGAGGGACATTTGTCACGAATCACAAGCTGACAAGAAACATTTTGAAAGATATTTGAAACTGCAATAAATTGGATAATGAATACGGTTTGACGGTAGTGCTGCTGCGGGAGGCCTAAATCCTTTTTTAAATTCTAAAGTGTGAGATATAATTTAAAAAATATGATTTATAAATAAAAACGCTCTCTGCTTCGGGGGATTGATCAACAAAAATATCGCGCAAAGTAATAATTCTTGTAAGGTTGCGATTATGATTCACATTCACATTTAATTTCCACATTTTTTGCTTTTAAATAGCGAAAGAATCTCAGAACGTGCTAAGAATTCAAAATAATGTGGCAAAAATTGGCTGTAATTCGTTAATAAGCTAGAACGTGACATAAGGCTGGAATTTCGTTAGAGGTACACTGGTCCCTATTTACCTCCAGTTTTGATGGTAACCTTTCCTATTACGTTCGCGTCGTAGCCCTTTACGATATTCAAAACTTGCTGGGAATTACTCGGTGTCGTAATTAGTATGCCACCGATGCCACAATTGAATGTCCTAAAACGTACGTATTATGCAAATATTTACGCAAGGCCTTTTCTAATACGATGCCAATCCTTAAGGGCGCGATTCATTTCTTAATAAAACCGATCGACATTCGTGTAGTCCAAAAAAAAATTATTTAAACATTGGAATTAAATTAATAGTTATAAGTTATAAGATCGTCTCAATGAAAATGAGAAAACCCTGTTTTTTGATATATTTAAAACACCCCTATATATTAGAATTAAAATGATTGTCAACCTACATTGATAACTTTTTTTTTCTCAAAATCTGATTATGAAACGCCTCCTAAATTACTTTAAAATTCCCTAGAGCAGGTTTTATCTAAAAGGTAGTAGCATTGTACTTAAAAGCGGAAAATATTTCCTTACTTTAGAAATAAGCCTTAAGAATAAATGACACTTCATGAAATGAATGAAAGTTGGGTTCCATAAACAATTATACCAAATATCACGGCCAGACATTCAGAACGACTAAAATATAATTTGACTCTTTAATATTGAGTATATTTGAATTTATTTTTTATAAAAAAGCTCTGAGAAAAATTATAAATAGATACGAATTTATATATAATAACAAATATAACATATTAATGAATAATGAATAACTTTTTTTTAAATATTTTGGTAAGCATTAAATTCACTTTAATGTTTGGCTCGGCTGATGAAAATTTTCAATCAGAACTTTTTTTTTATACAAAATTAATTCAATTTTCTAGAAAACATATTAGTTTGACACAAAAAAAAAGAAAATAATATTACGCATTAATATTTTGAATGATTTTATCGATAAATTTTAAAAAAAATTGTCCACTCATGTTAGTGCAACTCGTCGAATTTTTATACGATTTTTCAAACTTAAAGAAAAGATAAGCTATTAAAAATTTATCAACTAGTGTTCTTGAACGCAATAACGGTTACGATTCAAAAAGATTACTGTAAACAAGATTTGAATTTGAAATTTCAACTATGACAAGAAACGACATTTCGGTGTACCCCTATACAATATCGATTAGAAATAAAAAAAGTTATGAAGCTACAACCTATTTAAAATTTTAGGGTAGTGTATTCTTTTGAAAATAGATACCTCAACATTTCGGCTTCGTTGACGCCTCCGGCAGCGGCCAGCCACGCGAAAACGCTGGGTATTTTCCACGCGGAAGCGTCGAGCTCCACGGCCAAACGCTCGGGAAGCACCCTGGGGATGTTTTCCACCAAGCCGCCGCCCGTAATGTGAGCGAAACCTTTCACTTTTTTGGACTTGATGGCGTCGATAACCGATTTTACGTAGATCTCCGTCGGAGTTAAAAATTCTTCGCCTAAAACCGATTTGCGTATTGTATAAGCAAATATTCAGTTTTTTTTATTTTATTATATCGGCTTAATTACCTAATTGAATATCCACCAATTTAAGCAAAATATCAAAATATTTTTTAACTTGCCAAGGGATTTATTTTTCAATTACCTATCGAATGGTTTAAGGTGTCCTATATATGGGTAACTCCTCGCGGTTTCTCAGAATATCAAAATATCAACAACAATTAAGTCGTACTATTATTCTATCGCGTCGAATTAATACTTAGTATGAAAACGCAAAAAACAATCTGAAAAGACCAAAAAACTTATTTATTTTCGAATCATAACGCCTTAAGGCCCTCGTTGATGTACGCGTTAATGTATGCATATTCAAAAATGTGCGTTCTTTAATCAAATAAAAACCACTCACAAAAACAGATACACTGTTTTCCTCGTAAGTTGAATAATTATTATTCTACTCTGCTACTATTTTTTAATGAATATTTTACCTTCAATTTAGGCAATTAAATTGACAATTATTGCTTTTTCATTCCATAACGCTAGGTCGTGCTTTTTTCTAGGTCTATGTAAGAGCAGTTCAAACACTTCGCACAAAATGTGATGTTATGTTTGTTTTTAATTTTTAAATATTTTACCTTCAATGTAAAATACTTGGCGTTGCATTTCCTTGAGCAAGTTACTGTTTTTTACTTCTCTATTCAAGCAAAACCGATCACTTACTACTTACCAAACGTTTTGTTGTTTTTACTAAACGGAGCCAGGTCCTGGTACTTTGCCCCAGACAAACTCATAACCTTCCTCACCAAACTAAACCCATTACTATGAACTCCAGATGAAGGCAAACCTATAATTACATCCCCTTCTTCTATACTCTCAACATTAGGTATTATTTGCGTCCTTTCCACGGCACCCACAGCGAAACCTAAACAAATTTTTCATTAGTTGAAATAACCCTTAGGATCCCACATAGAGCTCCACCTGCCAGGTCGTATTCACCAGGCGGATACATGTCAGGCATCTCGGCGGTTTCGCCCCCTATAAGGGAGCAACCGGCCCTACGACAACCCTCAGCTATTCCAGACACTACGTGTTTAGCTACATTGACGTCCAGGGCGCCGCAGGCGAAGTAATCCAGAAAAAACAGAGGTTCGGCTCCGTGGGCGAGCACGTCGTTGACGCACATCGCGACGAGGTCGATACCGATAGAGCTGTGCTTACCCATTTCTTGAGCTATCTACAACAAGATATTCAACTAGAAACTGAAATATAGTATAGCACAAAAAACAAACGTCCGTAATAAATGCGCCAGCCTATATCTCTATGAGCGACATCTTACTAATCTACAATTGTACAATGTCGCTCATACAGAGTGCAGAAGTTTAGTTCTCGAAATTGTGATCTCTCTGTAACTCATGTAGCTTCAGCTATCGAATTAAGAACCCGGGATTCAAGATTTTTGGAGATGAGGATTATGAGTTATGATTTCCGAATAACTACTGCTACATTATATCCCAAGTCCAATTGCTGGCTCAAAAACAGTTTTATAAGAATTCAATGAATTTCAGAGAATTTTTTAGTTCTTTTCTGAAGCATGTTGCGATGCCATTGTACATAAATGAATTTCTAACCACAGACCATTCTTTAATTTTTTATTTCGAATTATCTGATTCAATCTTCTTTCTTAGCCGTTTCGAGTTTTTGTGGCACCGAAACAAGGTCGCATGGTCCGCAAATAAAGTAAATCGCAAATTCTTAACGAAAATTAAAAACAAAACGGGTTCCAAAACGGATAGGACAATACGCCAACATGAGCACTTTGTTCAAGTCCTTTCAAATAACAATATACCGTAACTGGCACGGTTGAATGATTTTGATACTGCTAAGAAGTCGACCATGACGTCTCACGCATTTTATTTTATTGGTTTGAAAGCCAACAATAAAATAAATAAGAACTGGCATAGTCCCCGCCTTTGCGTAAGCAATCATAAAACGCAAAAGAAAAGGTCCACAGATGTATAAATAAAAAATTAGAGTCTATACTTATATTTACTTATGCTTACTTTTAATTTAGTACCAACTCCATCCGTGCCAGACACAAGCAACGGGTCTTTGTAACCGGCCGCTTTGGTGTCGAATAACCCGCCAAATCCGCCCAAAGAGCCCATAACTCCAGGCCTATCGGTAGATTTGGCGGCCGGTTTGATATGTCTAACCAATTCATTACCAGCTGTAATGTCGACGCCACTCCCTTTGTAGGTTAGTTGACCAGATTTCAATATGGCTCTAAAAAGTGCCCGATAGAATCTCCTACTCACATGGAAAATTAAAGTTGAGGCAATCCTGTAGTTCACCTATACATTAGATGGGCTCCCAGATAACAAAATTGTCAGTCAATCCATCTACAGTATTTATCATATTTTTCCGAGCTTTGTTGCCAAATTTTTGACTACTATTTCTGTTACATAAACCAGTTTACCATGCTTTTCGAGAAAGCTTCTTACGAGTAATGTCTCTAATTTTTCCTAATTGTGAAAAATTTCTGTGAATATTTATTAAGTAGAGAATTCATTAAACAAGACGCTTTAAAAGTAACCTCCCTACTTTCCTTTATCAAAACCAGATTATTTCTACTTTGGATAAAGTGAAAGGAAGCTAGAAGTTGAAACCAATATAATAATTAGGTGTGCCCCCTCCCTCCAAGAATTGTCTGTAAAATGGGATTTAAGTATCGCAAAACTGGCAAAAGGCAACTAGTATGGAATCACACAAACTACACACTTGGAGAGTTAATTTAGTAAATTAAAAAGTATAGAACCCAAAACAGATATCAGACAAAAGCACCCTAAAATAAAAGAAAACGCATCACCATAATTTACAATGGACCAGAAGAGCGATTTATTCCAAACTGTTTTTTGTGAAGGATATAAATAATCCGACTAACAGTGTCTCAATTATAATTGTGGCAACGCAAGCTATTACAGCCCCCTGTTACAAAAAGCAGCACCAAATTCATCAAGTACAATACTTCACATTCAAGAATATTTATTATAAAGTGATATTTACTTTGAATGTAAAAAAAGTGTTAAAATCACATGCTATTAAAAAAACAAAATGTACCTAAACTGTTTTAAGTTTTCCTCCGTATAATTGTATATTCAACCTCGTGGAACACTTGTGACAACAAGTAAAATCAAATGTGAGAGCAAAAAATGATACTCTCACTTTAACTCTGATTCTAATAAATATCATTAAAAATGTAAATAATAAAATAGTCGAGAGTTGGAAAAATGCATTGTAACACGAGTAAAAAATTGAAGATTTGCATACAAAATCACATAATAAGACCAAAAATTCGATTTTAAAGAAAAACATACTAATTCGGGTTATTATTACCTAAATAAATGTAGCATAACATTTAATCATTATATTTTTAACACACCTTACAAGTCCGGCCCTACAATACCGAGTATTTATTTCGATAATTGCCGTCAAAAGCCAACTAAAACCAAAAAGTATTTTGAAACATACCATACCCACTTTACCAACAAAACCTTTTCAATTCAAGTTGCAGTTTATTAGCAAATTATTTTGTCCGTTTCATTTCAATTTTATTTTGTTGCTTAGTTTTAAGAAGGTGTATATTATGTTGACAAGTCTATTTTTGTTTCTATTACAGTTGAATTGCTGCAAATACTTCGTTTTACTTTTTACGAAATCTTCGGGGGTGATAACGTTTTCACAATGATTTTGAAAGGCTAACAACTGAAACAACCAAAATAAACATTCTTTTTTGTGAAATCGATAACTGCTGTTACTGTTATATAAATAAAAATTATATTTAAACAACAAAATTTTACACACAATGGCTATTGTGTTGTCCCGAAAATTATTGACGAAACCAAGCTTAAAATAAAAGCACCCCTTCCTTTTGCATGTTTGATTATTCGACAAATTTTAAAATTTTAACAGCATTCTAAAGGCCTTTTCAATACCTTCGCAAGGTAGCACTTAACCCACATTTTCTAATTAAATGTTAAGAGTGAATCTCATACCCTGGAGAGTGAGCCGCCAAAAATGTCTAAATAGCCAAATTGTGGTTTATTTGAAAAATAAATTTTCCTATTTCTATAATTTTGCAAAAAGTTTAAAAAATGTAAACAATTTTTTTTTTGGTGCATGAAATTATCAAACAGGATTCACAAAAACTAAGCGACAAAATTTCAACTTATTCAAAAATTGTAAGTATAAATCTTCCCAACAGAATTGACACGTTTCAACAATTTTTATTTTCTGAAAGTGGTTTTTGAGAAAGTCATAATTTACACCTGGCATAATTTTCCTGTTAAATCGAAGAAATGTAACAGGTTGGCAAAGCTGCATGTCACATTGCGATCGCTGTTAAAACGTCCCCATCTATTACATACCTAACCTGCAGGATTACCAAAGTCGACTACCTAGCTATACCCTTGTGAGCTATATCCCGTCTAAATTGCTCCCCATTAAAACGCACAAGGTCGGCAGCTTGAAGTGCTTTTGCGGCCGCTGAAATCAGTCGAGGCCCCATGGACACTATTATCAACACCCTGCCCCCATTTGTGACCACCTCGCCGTCTTTAAACGCAGTACCACAATGGAATATAACATGATGGGGAAGAGAAACCACAGATTCGAGCCCCTTGATGCAATCTCCCTTGCTCGAGCTTTCTGGGTAACCTTTTGAAGCTAACACGACACCCACCGCGTTCACACCCTCTTTCCATTTTAACTGTTGCCTGTCCAAAGAGCCTTCGCAACAGGCCGCCATTATTTCGTACAAATCGGACTCCAAGAGGGGCAAAATTACTTCCGTCTCCGGATCCCCGAAACGGCAATTGAATTCCAACACTTTCGGACCTTCTCGGGTCAACATTAACCCGGCATAGAGAACACCTAAAACAATTTATTTATTTCTTGACCATCCAACTACATTTCGGGTACCTATGAAGGGTATGTTCTCTTTTTGGAAGCCTCGCAACGTCTTCTCTAAAATTTCTTCCTGGACATACTTTAACTGGTCATCATTTAACAGAGGGCACGGGCAATAAGCTCCCATACCACCCGTATTCGGTCCCTCATCGTTATCGAAAATCCTTTTGTGATCTTGCGCAGGCAGCATCGCTTTTACAGTCTTGCCATCGCAAAAACTCAACACCTACAATATCACCATATCTTCATTTTCTAACGGAGTCGAGCAAACCAGATGGCAGTATCATCGATCGTTTGACATCGAATATAATTGAATTTTTTGTTTTATGTTTTATGTTATTCAATTTTTTAGGAATAAACTGAGCTGTCAATTTTGTAACTTTGCACTCGGCTTAAGATCTAGTTTGTAAATCTGAAGCATCCAAAAGAAACTGCATATCATCTGCCCGATTTACGGAAACAAGATCTCCCCACTTATCATAACTTAACTACGCGCATAAGAGAATCTACACTATATTTTAGAAATTTTGAAGAGTTTTCAGTTTGGAAGGCCCAGAAGAATAGACAGTAAAGTAAACTATGCTTGCCATATGGCGAAGAAAAAAGTACCTATATGAGTGTAACAGTATTCATATTCATGGGATTCGCGTAAGACATACTGACTATCAAAACCCAAACAAGAAACAATTGTCACAATTTTACTTCGTGGCCAATTAAAAACGCAACTCAACTATTCCGAAAAGTAATTATTGGAAAGACTTGAAGTCAACAATGGATTCCAGGGGGCGTAATCGCATTCATGAATTTGAAATAATTTATATTATAGATTGCTAAAATTTATCGTTATAAAGCTAGAATAAATTCGATTCTTGTTCATGTCAGATCATTTCTGAAATAAATGTTTATAATTTCAGAATGGATGAACCCAATTTGTCAAACTCGCAGTTGTTGAAAAGTGCTCATTTTAGACTATCAACGCTGCGTTGCGACATTACTATCAATGTATTTTTTGAAAGATATTAAATATTAATAACCTATAATGTCAATAAAAGAAATAATGTCGCATTTTTAGGAATATTTTCAGTGTACCTAGCATTATTAATTAGCAAAATAAATATAAATTTACTGTTAAAATGCAAAAATTATATTTAAAATGTCATTAATAATGAATATTCAAATAAACACAACAACATACATAAAACGGATCTTTGCGTTTTAATGCAGGATTCTCTCTACCGCAGAGATTCTAACAAAATAGATCACACACTCCTACAGGTCAAAAAGCATATTTTTTACAAATAAAGGCACCAAAATTAACTATAAATATTGCTATTTTGTTGTCCAAACCACACTTGGAATTTAAAGTTTTTGAATTTGAATGGATAGATGAGCAGTATTCACTTATATTGAATGAGTATTAATTATTGCCTCTAGCGCCCTCTAGCGAAGATTCAAGTAATCTAAATCCATTTACTTGAGACAGCAGTGATAGCATAAAAAGAGCCCTTTTAATTAACTTTAAGTTCGACAAACTAGGTTCAGCCATTCTGAAGTTATTGACATATATTTCCGACTATTCTAGAAAAATGAATAATAACTTTCAGTATCTTGTCTTACCTGCTTTAGTCATAAGTTTTTTCACCCCAGGTCTTACCACAATTACTTTTTGAGATAGGGTAGAATGCCTTTTTTAATTGGAAACCAGGAATAATATTTATTATTTTTAAACTTACCGAAACTTCTTCCCCCACTAATAATTCTTCCACAACAACCGTCTCTCCAGCATTTCCAAACTTTCTATTGGTAAGTATATCATTTATGGCATCACAAGCCTCCAGCTTGTTTGAGGCAACTACTACCCCTTTGCCTGCAGCCAGGCCACTGGCTTTAACAACCAAAGCAGCGAAAGGCGCGCTGAAATCGCAATTATATAAACGAAATGAGTACGGTTACTGTGCATTACCCATTAATAAAATTTTTCGCGTCTTTGGGGTCACTAAAAGATTCCCATCTGGCAGTCGGTATACCGTGCCTGTCCATAAACGCTTTGGCCCAGTTTTTGTCCGATTCAATTCGTGCCCCATTTTTTTGGGGCCCAAACACTTTGATACCCTGAGCATTCAAGTCGTCGGCCAAGCCGTTGGCGAGAGGATCTTCGGGGCCTACCACCACCAAATTGACGGAATTTGTCTTACAGAACTCTATGATTTCCTGCAATTTCAAAAGGTCCAAAGCCAAAATAAGGAATAGTGGGTAACTCCTTACCCTAAAATGGTTTAAATTCAAAGACACATTCCTCGCCTTGGCGACCTGTTCTATGGCAAAGCTTCCGGGGGCCGCGTATATCCGACCTACGAGTCGGCTTTGAGACAGCTTCCATACGATCGCGTGTTCCCGTCCGCCGCCTCCAATAACTAAAACGTTTTCGCCCATTGTCGCGGGATCTAGGGGTAGCACGAATTTCCCACTGCTTATTTTTAACCGGACCGACTTTAATATGACCAACCACTTGTAAAAACACTTGTTGATTCAACGATTTGCTAACCACTGTCGTCTATATCGTTTGATTTCTTAAAATTTACAAAGAAACAAAATATCCGATAACCCCCAGCGACGTCGTGAGGAAATTTGAGATAACGAAAGGGTAAAGGTGCGTAAAGTAAACACAAATTTCATAAATACGCCAAGAAAACATATTTCCTAATTTTAATGCAAAGTTAAAACTGTATCTACATGAATTGGTCCACATTATATGCAAGTGTTCAAGGCGAGCAAAAAAATGTAAATAAATTTGAAGAAAAACATATTTTAAAACTATAGCATAGAAACGCGGATGTGTAACACGAGCGTTTTTGAATTTTGAACATTACTTAGCAACCGTTTATTAAGAAAATTGACAACGCTCAATTTTGGTCTAAATAATCTCAACCTCCAAGAAGGAATTGTTTAACTAATAACAAAAATTGGACAGCAGAAATATTCGACACGCTTTCATTTCATATGCCACAAAGATATTGAAATAACGTAAATGAGAATATCATCTTGCTTACTTACAAACTATTTGCCACAACGTTTTTTATTGAAAATAATCAGGCAGTCAACCCCAGCTCGGGGAAAAGAAATTTTATTCCATTATCTTTTTCTCCTACAACACTATGTAGACCTATATTTTCGTACGGATCACGATTTTACTAAAAGCTTTTCCGGCCTGTTATGGGCCTACACGTGTCATTAGCAGCATGCCGCCATCTGTCACTAGATCCAACCAATTTTGTTCTTTGTTTTCGTGTGCAGGAAAAATGCACTTTTCTACTCCCTTCTGTAAAATATCTAATTATAAACCGATCTAGCATGAGTTCCTTGTCCAGCGGATTCCTTTCGGACATTTTCCTTTTACAGTTTAAGTTTTTACAGCACGGCTTGAATTTTAACGTTTGTCACTTCTGATGGTCATGTCAGTGAATGTTTTCGTGTTGATTTGCAAATATGTACCCAAAAATTAACGGTCGCAGAAAAAGTATAGTATGGCACACGTTTCGTAAACTTTTTAAGTCAGTCGTTTATTAAGTACTCGCTCCGATCGTGCCAAGTAAACTCGTGACCCAAATGCCGGATACCGCACTCGTAAAAATACTTTTAGCAATTGAGATAATTAAGGAATATGCAAAATTATATCGTATGTATTCCCGTGACCAAACCAACTTATCAAAATTAATCACGCTAACCGAAACCACTTACAAACCGAAAATCTAGCAAATATTTGCCGGATTAGAGTTAAACATTTAAGGCCTCTTAGTATTGGTCAAGTACGTTCACAGATGAAACTCTTAGGTCTTACCAGGCCGGAAAAGCTTTTATTGGACCTTAAAATCGCAATCCTTCAAGTAATAATTTAGAACGGAAAAGATAGCTTGCAAACATTAAAATGGATTGTCGCTTAATTTTTAAATTATTTTCAAAAAGACACAAGAATCCGATAAAAAACTGTAAGTTACATATATATTCTTTGATCCGGCAATGTAGCGTGGTGCTAAGAGCGACAGCCAAGGAAACACGGCACCATGGCATCGATGTCTCATGCAAATCTGACCAATCAGTGTCCTAATTCACATGCGTTTAACGGTTTTTATGTAATTGCAGAAAGATTATATATATATATTTTTTAAGCCTTAAGCGGAAAAGTAAGTTCAATTTTCCTCGGCATTTAACGAACAAAGTTTTCTGGCATTAGCCGTGATAATGGAGGAAGAATTAGCTTTAACTTTGACTCCCAAAGAGGAGTTACGATCTTCTCAACATTTGCAGGGGACCTCGATTCCGTGGGGCAGACTTATCACTTGCAAAACGTACTTCGAGTCTATAGGTAAATTAAATAATTTTGTGATTATGAATTTAGAATTCACGATTTTCCGCAGATTTGGTCGAAACGACTTTTAGTTTCGGCAGAGCGGACGATTGCGATGTAATCGTGACAAGTAAAATGGTGAATAACCACGTATTACTTAACATTTCCAAGAGACATTTTTTGATTCAAAGAGAGGACGACGGCTTAGTGTATATTACGGATCAAAGTAAAAACGGAACTTTCATTAACGGTGTGTTAGTGGGCAAAGGGAAAACGTAAGTTCTTTTTAAGTGAGGTTGCCATTTCCGATGAAACAGTTTCAGAAAAATCTTAAAGAGCGACGATCACATTTCCCTAGCAGGTGGGCAGAATACCTTTTATGTGTTCCTCTGTAAGGGCCCTGAAGGAATACAAGATTTCTTACCTGAAGCACTTAAGGTTAAGTATGCTTACATTAAGCAATTAGGACGAGGCTCTTGCGGCGAGGTTTGTCTGGTGAAACACAGAGTAAGTTGATAAACAATGTAAATAAAATAATCTTTATTGCAAGAAAAAAAACTATTGCAACAAAATATTACACCATTCAATAACATAACTTTTACAAATAGAACCACAAAATAACATTTCACCTAAATGGGTACAAAAAAGGCTCAAATTCCACTAAAGGCTGTGATCTATTAGACACGAAATTTTTCATACAATTTTTAAATATTTTTATAGGGATTAGGTATAATGGTATAGTTAGAGTCCAAACTTTTATTTTTACGCACTCTTTTATATTCTTTAATGTGTTTCTTTAATGTTTTACTGGTTTGTCGGACATGATCCACATTTCAACTTATAGACTCTAGATTTCTGAGTTATTTGTGATTTAGTTTTGTTGTCTTTTAAAAATGTTACCTATGGTGTTTTTAGTTTTAAAAGCAATTTTAAGATGAAATTCAGATAGATGTTTCCAAATTTTCTTGCTAGGTTCGTCTATGTATTTTATTGTTTGATAAATGTATGTATGTATATAGAGTTCAGAGTTTTTTTCAAAAATTTCTTTGGAGAGTAATCTAAGTAGAATGTGGATATATGTGAGGGTTTATGGTAAATAAAAAAATTTAGTTTGTTCTGTAATTTGGTTATAGTTGAGTCCAGAAAGTTTAAAGAATTATCTAATTCTGTCTCTATAGTAAAATTTATACGGTTATGTATGGAGTTAGTATGATTCAAAAAGGGCTGTAGTTGTCTTTCCGTTCTAGAACACAAAAGAGATCTTTTACTCACAGGATATTTATGTATATTTTTTAAATTGTCTGTGAAAGTTTCTGCAAGTAGTGGACTAAGTGCATGAGACAATATTCTCACTCAGAAACAAGTCAACATTATCACAAAACAAGACTTGTTAGATAGTTTAATAGTTGGTTTAGACCAAAATTATTTTGAATTTAATGGTAAATATTAATCATGGGAAACCCACTTAGTCGAAACATCTACCTAACTAAAACACCGCAGTAAGTTTTTTTTAAAAACGAAACCATGCAAGACTCAAAAACCCGGAGTCTACAAATTGAAATGTGGTTCATGTCCCAAATTGTATGCCCGACAAACCAGTAGAACATTAAAGAAACGCATTAACGAACATAAAAGACCGTATAAAAATAAAAGTTGGGAATCTAATTATGCCATCATTGGTTTAAGCTCAGAAATTAACAAGTTTGACGATAATTTTGATATTTTACATAATGAATCAAAAAGCAAAGAACTAAATTTGCTAGAAGCTATTACTTAATGACCAATTGGATTTAAATTCCTCCCCGTTGTTAAATTTAAATTTATAACTCTACAACTGTGGGATGTGGGAATATTATCATATTTTGTGTTTGATAAAGGCAGGGTGTTACCGAAACAGCTGTCATAAACCAATAAATAACTGTGAAAATGTGAACACCTCAGTTCAAATATGAGTGTCTAACTCTCAAATTCAGCTTGCCATTGTTCCTTCTATTATATGTGGGACATGTTTTTGCTTTTCAAATTTTATTAAGCAATAAACAAACTCGTAATTTATGTTAATTATTTATGAGTTAAAAATGTCACAGATATTTTCTAATCCTGCCCAAAAACTTTAAAGTAACAATAATAATTAGTATTTTTCAGGACACCTGCGAGGTGTTTGCCATTAAAAAGATTGTCAAATCTCAGAGGAACACCTCTCAAATGCACAAAATTAATCACCCTTTGAAGATAGCAAACGAAATTAATATTTTAAGGCAAATATCCCATGTAAGTAGATTTAAAGTAGCCGTAGTTTGGTAACAGGATGGATGCCTGTATTTCTAGCCCTGTATTGTGGGGATGCAGGAGTTGTTGGAGACAGAAAGTGAAGTTTACCTCGTTTTGGAATATATGGCTGGAGGAGAATTGACTAGCAAGATTATTAACCAGAATTTAACAGAAGCGAATGTAAAATTTCACTTTTACCAAATGATTTTAGCGGTGCAGTACCTCCACCTTAAAGGAGTTACCCACAGGGACTTGAAGGTGAGTTTTTATTAGTATATCTGATTGAGAGTTTATAACTGCGCGGTTTTAGCCCGAAAATATTTTGCTCCTGGATGATAAACCCGAAACCATACTGAAGGTTTCGGATTTCGGTTTGAGTAAGGTAACCGACCAAGATGACATGAGAACCGTGTGTGGTACTCGCAGGTTCGTGGCCCCCGAGGTCCTGCACAACGCCTTCCGGGACTACGGGGAGTACGGCAAGGAAGTAGACGTGTGGAGTTTGGGAGTTATCTTGTTCCTGATGCTGTCGAAGCAGTTTCCCTTTGAGTAGGAACTGTTACATTGTATTTTTAGGAATAAAAATGATAATGACGTATTGAATTTTCTATAAAAATCACTAAAGCTAATTCGTTTTCCTTCCAACTTGTAATTTTATGGTCATTATATGAACATTGTAGGTCTGACGACGTGGACACTTTGAGGCAGCAGATTTTAACTGGTGCTTATGACATGAAGGGCCAGAACTGGGCAGAAATTTCCTCAGAAGCTAAACATCTCGTCAGGTCCATGCTGACCCTACATCCGAAGCTTAGGATTAAGTTGAAAGATATATTTAAGCATCCCTGGATAAGTCGGGTGAGTGACATTAGTTTCTTGTGATTTTTTAATGATAATAACGTTCTCACAAATGGATGTAAGCGCAAGCTACTCTAGAAAAAAATATCATAATGATAATAATAATAGAATAAATTTTTATCAGTAAAATCTCCTTCTGTCTACAGAACTAGTTTTCATCCTAACGTTATTGAAGTTTAGGATTTGGCCATAGTGATCAGAAATGTTAGATATGTATTTTTGTGATATCACATTGATATTGCTGATAACATTGTCAATCTGTCAAACAGATTCAGCCAGTCATTAGAACACTGTATATTAGTAAAGTAAAGGTTCATTGGTGTTTCCAAATATAAAGTATTTTTATCACAAGTCCTAATCTTTTAATTAGTTTAATTCATTCATTGATGCATTAAAATTTTAAAATTGTTCAATATGCGATGATTTAAAAATTCTTATACTTTATCTCACTGGAAATCTTTCACCCAATAGAATTTTTTTTAATTAAGAACGTTTTCATTTTTAATTTGAAAGAATTTAATTTTACTTGTTTGATATTATTTGGGAACTAGTATATTCTTGCATAATTACCCATATGTTCTTTCATATAAAATAGGTTATCCATTATATATATTTGCAAGGTATTGTTAAAACTCCCAGCGTATTAAAATGCTTTTTTATGACAGATCTATATGTTAGCACCTCGATTATTCTTACTTCCCTTCTCTGTAATGTAAAAATTCTATTTTGCATGAGAGGGCCCCCAAATCATTATTGCATAAGTTGGCTACTCTTCGAGTTAGATGCCCTTGGTAGTGATTTTAAATATTTTATAATAAATATTGTCTTGCATAACTTTTTGGTAATAATGTCATTACGAGCTTCAAATGAAAGTTTGGGATCAAAGTAAACTCCCAATCTGCTCAATATTGTTTTATTTTTTCTTTTTTCCTATCTTTGTTATATTAAATTGGACATTTGCAACGAACCATTGATCCAAGCCCCCATCCATTGCTGTATCCAAAGCTTCAATACCCGTGTTATCATTGACAAAGAGATATTTTAATTTTTCTTGGCTTTGTCAATATCATTAATATATATTAAGAACATCAAAGGTGAGAGCAGAGATCCTTCAGCAAATCTACTGAAAGCTAATCTCTACCATTTCTATGTTGGCACCCCCCACAGGACCTACCGATGCAATACAGGGTGCAACGTTTGCTCCAAGAGAGCGGCTGTGACAATCTGACGGAGTATTTGGAGGAACTCGAGCCTCCGGAAAAGAAATTTAAATTTACGCTTTTTAATTCTTCCTCGTCTTCGAGCAGATCTGATTCAACCTTAATCTTAGAAACCGGTTTAGGTGATAGCAGTGTTAAGTGCCAATAGTCCCAATATGTGTGAGCTTTCAGGGCAAAGTGCCATAGCTTATCAAAGAGTTATCCGTTTTGTGTTCGACAAGTCTTCCTGTTTGTTTTTGTATTTTTAGTACCTTTTTTTTTGTGCTGAAAGTATTTCTTTAGTTTGTAAGGTTTGACTGATACAGTTGAAGTTTGTTTACATTCCTATTTAGCTGTTTTGTATTTATATACTTTGTTTTTAATGTGCAAGGTATTTTTTATATTGTACCTAACTCCACGAAAAACATAGTTTTGCAGTATTTTGTAATGAAAGTTTTTTGATATACAAATAATACTGAATTTTCTCATTCGGCATGTTTTATTGCAGAATAAAACTGAAAACAGTCATACTATCCATCTAAAATACAAATTAAAATATAATATAACAAATAAATAAATATATACAGTTATTTTATTTTGATTCTGAGGAACCCCTGTGCATAAAAAGTAATAAATAAATCAATTTACGAATTTTTTTAAACATTTGTTAAAAACTTACATTTCTTATAAAAAAAATACAAATATTAAAAGAGTTGTTTCTTTTTCAGTCTTCTTTTGCCACATTCAAATTCAAAGAAATAGGAACCGCTACCTAAGATAGACTAAGCTGACAACTTTAATGAAGTGTTTTTCTCTTAATTTATCTTATATACTTGATCCGAAAGAAAAGCTTCACGAATTTGGTTCCTTATACTTCCAATGCAATATTGGAAGAGTAAAAATTATTTGTAAAACAAAAGTTATCGTATAAATTTTCATGTGTCCGAAATGGAAAATTTGCGCTTCGCCCTTGGTGAAGGGCTCAAAAGAAAGTGACGCAGTTGGTGAATTTTGTGACATTTCCATCTCTACGAAAATATCATAGCCGCCCGAGGCGTCCCGATTTTTACCGTACGATGGCCATTAGGTATGACGGCTAAAATCCTAGGCTGATGCGATTGTTGTTTGTTGTTATTTCTACCAACGTCGAGGGACAAAAACTTTTTTGCATTAAATTGCTCCAAGTGGTAAGTGGACACCAATCAACGTTTTATTACATTTTCGGGATATTACCCACGAGTTTGGGGATGTTTTCGGCGATATTATTCACGACTTGAACGTTTGTCAAATCTGAGGGCCACCCACATGTCACTCAGCTAATGAATCATGTTGTTTTGCCAAAATGTATCCAAACAGTAATGGTTGTGTGGAATAGTATTCAACACCTCTGATAAGTTTTTCAGAGAAACTTCCACATGCTTTTTATAAAACTTCTTGATTCCTCCTGCGTCGGTTTTTGCTGAGTCGAACTTGTTAACGTATTGCTAATCATTCTGTTGGCTTCTTCAGAGCTTGATTGAAACTGGCTCGCATTGTACCCTGTACATGCTTATATATTGTTTGACGGGGGCGGAACTAAATGAGCGGCATAAACTCCTTCTCGAATGACTGATTTCCATATTGGTGACAAGTAAAAACCTGAGTCGCGGTTAAGATTGTTAGGTTGTTTATAGATGCAAGAATTTTAGTTTTACCAAATAAAATTTTATGTCCGGTTTGGTGATTGTGTTCGGCTACTGCTGATGAGTTTATTTGTCTTAGTCTTAAGGCTCTCTCGTGAAACGTTAGCAAGTTCGACTCAGCAAAATCCTACGCAGGAAGAATTCAGAAGTGTTGTAAAAAACATCTCTGACAAAACTTTTTTAGTCACTCGTTTATTAAGCACTCGCATTGCTCGTGCCAAACAAAAAAAATTGGGACATAACATACTATTTGGATCTTGTGAATCTACTTGCCCAACATGGTAATGGTCGCCATAGCGGTAGGTGGAGTAACAAGTAAAATTCTAGGGAACAACTGTTAATTATGGAGTTGGTATTGTTGGCTGTTATTTAGTATCGCTGCAGAACATAGTTTCGTAGTCTGTGGTATGAATATAAATGCTCGAACGTTACCAATGTTGCCATTGTTATTCGTTGTTTCACAGCTTCGATTTAGTGTTTTGTGACTTTTGGCAGTGAATTTGTGCAAATCACTTTTAGTGCTTGGTAGAATTTATTTGGCAGAGACTATTCAGAATACCGCGACAAGTGTTTCGGTAAATGCCTTGTGATCGAAAAAAAAAGAGTCTTAAATACCGCATTTCCTTTGTCGCGTTTTACCCTTGAATAAGAATAAGGTTAACATGGTACTGTTGCTTATACAAAGTACTGGAACTTTATTTACTGTGATACAAAACAGTCTTGTTCACGGATCTGTGGCATAAGTACAAGGCTTTGAAGTATTAAAGTATTTTATTTTTTTATATAAAGTGATTTAGTGGAATAGTGCCAAAATGGAAACTGTTTATACTTATGGAAACCGTTTTCTATGAACAACGCACAAACCTTTTAAAAATGCCCCGCAATGGTATATATAACTGGAGCTAAAAGTAAAGGTAAATATCAAAACGAATAAATTATAGATAAAACGTTTATTTTCATCTGAGAAATTTTAAAAAAAATCTATTCAAATTACAAAGCCGACGTGCGCAACCCCCACCTCACGTAAAACAGCTGTCTACGCGCAACGCTAATCAGTCTTCATTACAGGGTTAGTTTTCGGGTAACTTAAGTACTGGTACTTTTTAGCTTCGTAAAATTGTTAAAATTTCCCGCGACTGGGTAGCGGCAGAGGGCGTGCAAATATTTCGTAACCCTATTTTATTAAAGCTTTGTCGATTTCGCGTTTGTTGTAAATCTTACGGGTAGTGATAAAGACATCTTCGACGATATACAAAAAATCTAAATTTTTCCGTGTTCCACGGAATACAATAAACAGATGCAAACCCGGACCGCACAACCCAAGATCCGTAAACACAATAGGTATCTAACAGAGGTAACACGTGGAACCATTAATTGTCGAGTTTACATTTATAAAAGCAATTTTAGCGTGAAATTTTGCTTCTCAAGTAATAATTCCTAGTGGAATAGTAGAAACAAAACAAAAAGAATTTTAACTTTTAGATATGCCTGGAATGCGATGTGATGACTACAATAACAGCATAATAAAGGCATTGAAATATAGGAAAATATAATTTTATCGATTACCTAGAGATCAATAATTTTACCAAATTTGAATTCGGTGTTTGAGCATGTAGCATCGCAAGATGATTAAAAGGATATAAAGTATGTTTACCAAGCACATCTTTGCAGCATTTGTTATTTTGTATTTGTGTTCTTACATTAATTTGTAAATGAAATATTTATATGGGATGTGTGTTTTAGTTAAACAAGGTTTGGAGGAAATGGAGTTTAAAAACATATTTTACATTCTTGATATTTTATACAATAAAATTAAGTATTTAATGGGAACAAATGAGACAAATAAAAAATGGGAAGCGAAATTATAACAAAATTGACAATAAAAGTAAGATGTCTATATATCACCGATTCAATTATATGTGGGCAAGAAAAGAACAGCGCTATTTGCAATAAAAGAAGTTGAAAAGAGAGCGTCAATACGCGCTTTAGAATCTGTTTTAACCTATTGTGTTTATACTTATACTACATTCTAACAAAAAAAGGTGATGTTCTTTATGTACAAATGGCAGTTTTGTTGACACGGAAACGTTCCACACGTATATATTTGTTTTGTAAATAAATTACCTAGCGCTCAATAAATAGCTCTTCTACATTCTTTTACTATACAACGGGCAAACCGAAAAATAAATTATATAATTTTTCACAAACACCGCACGCTTAGACTCTAGTGGAAATTATGTACAACAAAGTTCACGCCGAACTTTATTTTTAGTTGCCGTAGTACGTACAAAACGGTACACGGCAGCACTCGAATTTTTAAAACAAAGTTCCGTACGCACGACATGTGCTTTTCTGGTTTCTCAATTAGGTGGACTGCAGGTCTTCGTTGATTAAAAGCCGCTGCGAATTCCCTGCAAAAAACACATACGGCCGTTTGTAACAGTGGGAGGCCGACGTGAGAGACCACGCGACGGTCCAGTACCGCAGAACCACCACCACAACTAACCAAATGATCACGAATTTTTTGGGCACGTTTTTGAACCATTTGGTTTGGGTTCGAGAACCGATAAGTCGCAATATTAGTTATGACCAGTATTATTAGTAATCGTTGTGCAACAAATGAAAATATAAGAACTGCCTGTATGTTGTGTTATACTTTCTATAATAAATTGCGTTCAGATTGAAAACATTCCTAAATAAAAACCTAAAAAACAAAGATATTTGGTGTATTTGTCTGTATATAATCTGGTGCGTAGACCGTGACATTTATATTTATGTTAACATTGACAAATTTGTTACGACTTTCGCGGCCAGTTGATGAACTGTTGTTTAGTGCTTGAACATACTAGTGAGGAATCGAGGCAACAATCTGGATCATACAGTATATAGGAAGCCAACATACACGACCGGATACCTGCACGACGTCAACCAACCATCACCCAAGGCAGAAGAAGAACCTTGATGAGCTCGAACAGATAATGGCTACAGCAAGAGCGAGATCGAGCGGTCATTGGGCTTGAGATCATTAAGGTCAGGGGAAACCGAACCACGACCTCCTACCTCTCCACCATATCTTCCATATATTCCGAGAGTCATAGACAGGATTGACAGGGCTCTAAAGAAACACAACAAAGAAACATTCTTCATCTCTATGAGACAGAACAAAGATTCGAAATTCAAGATTTGGGAGTTAGATGTCCGTCACTTGAACTCTCCATAATCAATAAAGCTTCATCTAGGTCCGTCTCTCTGACCAGACTTCACAGGTGGTGCTCAGTCCCTGGTTTAGTTACGCCTGTTACGTTACATGTGTCGCTGTGGAGGGCTGTTCTATTCAGTATTGAGTATTGCCTTCCACACCCTTTAGGCTTAGATATCTTGTAAGCCGGCACTGGCCCATCAGTAGACCTACCATTATCCTGTTTGTAGCTTAGCAGGTCTGGTGTAAATTTGATCAATAGGAATTGAGGAATTCCTTGGCCTGTCTTTGTCCGGGGGTTTTATCGGGATTCTTTTTCCATCCATATTTTCATCGCTGATTCTATAACGAGGATATGTCTGAATTGTTTCTTCTAGCGGGTTTAGCCAACTCAGGTTCTGGTCCAATCATACCTTTGTGACTTTCGTGGCCTGGTACCCATGACAGTGGCACTTTATTTTGACTGGCTTCTTTAATACCTTATGACAATCTAAAACTACCTTGGATGTCATTTTTCTGGATTTCATAGCTTTTATTGCCGTCAAATTAATGTAGATCGCAACTCTTTTATTACGATTCTTTTTCATCTTCATTTCTCTTTTACAAGTTTCTAGTGCGGTAATCTCTGCTTGAAATAGAAATTTTCATTTTCGTCTGAGTTTTTGAACTGCCTGTGTACCTGTCCACCAATTATTGGTGACTATGGGACGGACTTTTCTTCACATTCTATGTAGATTTGTATTGGTAGGATATTCAGTAGGAATACCAGCGCTGCAGTGGGCGTTGTACTTCAGTAACGTACAGACTCGGTAGCCTTTGCGCGATAGTCAGCTTCCACTTGCTTGTCCGAGAATTCATTTTACGGGAGTCTGCGGTTTTGTTTGAACTATCAAAATATCGATGGGAACGAGATTCAAAGGAGCATGAGGCAAGCTGCAGACTAGTAGAAATCCGATCTGAAATCCAATCCTCGCGAATATCCGAGCTTTGGCAATCGACATCTCATTTGTACCGAAGAGGAACACACCTCGAAATCAACTGAAGCGAGCCTCGAAGTTGATTGAAGCCAAACCTATATATTGGTATAAGTACAACTTGTGCAGCAGAATTAGTCAATCTACGTCCAACGTTGGAGCTGGAAGGATCTGTGAGGAAACTTACTACTCATTGCTAGCGAAATGTTAGGTAGCAATTCCAATCGAAGACGGCCTTGAGAGCCGAACCGCGAAAGCCTTAACCAATTTGTTTTGTCTTATATTTAAAATTCATATAACGGGCCCGTCTAACGTTTGAAGCAAGTATAACTAGAATTTTAAGTTTAAGTTGAATTGTACAATGAAAAATAATTTCTTATTAAATTTTATAAATTAATTTTATAAAATAATTTTTTGTTTTTACTGCATTGAAAAAGCTTCATAACGAAGATTCTTTTGAGTTATTTTTTTAACGAAACGATTTACCTGAAAAATTGTTACGAAATGATCGGTGATGTATATAGAAAACGAAAAAAAAAAAATCGACGTACGTGCTACGAATTTTCGAGGGCGGCCAACGGGTCCGTGTGGTCCGTACGGTTCTGTTGTCCTAAACACGACGGAGAAAAAAAAAAGTCAAGATTATCGAAGAAGAAAAAACTTCAAATTCAGTACTTGGTCTGAAACTACAGAGAATAATTAATGAATGAAATGAATTAAACGGGAGTAATCGGCGCACTACAGAGCACTGTAGTTGTATTATGTTTCGGAACCACATGAGCCTTTCAACGTTTGAAAAATAAAGAAAAACACTTTATTTACTTCACAAAATATTCTCGACAATAATGAAAGATAAAATCAAAACCAATGTGTGGCATTAAACTTAGTTACTGTTTTATTACAGAATCCCGTATTTAGAAAAATTCCTCCCAAGATTGCCGAATCTGTCTCTCGGCGCGTGATAGAAGATATTTTCTCGAGGTTTGTGGATACAATACTCCCTTGCTTACTTTTTATATAACATATAAACATAACCTATAATTTGGTGATCTTTGGATATTTGGCAACTTTCGGAATTTGAATGCATTTACAACTTTCTTTTTTATAACTTTTTTTTTGGACCTGTCTGAAACGCAGTCGTTTACATTACGTGCTTATTACCCAGGACACGAAGGACCGTTGTTTTTTTTTTTCGAATCAAACTCAAAAATATTTACCGTGGATCGCCCTTTCCACCTTTTCCTTGTCCTCCACGATGAAGAAGGCATTGAAGAGGAATAAGAAGCCGCCGAGGATTTCTACGAAACACGCCGTGAATAGCGCATATTGTAACGCTTTGAATTCGATTAGGGTCGTATCCGAGTCCTGTGGTGTCAATGTTACATTCATGGGCGTCGTCACGTTGTCGTTGCCCCGAAGCATGATTTGGTAAGCTTCGGATAACTAAAATTGCGAAAAAATGGGTAAAAATCTTCTTCTCGTCAAGACAAATCCAGAACAGGCAGAGTCACATTGAATTGGCAACAGCAATCGTGTAGAAATGATTCAGCGGCATTGGATTCTTTGGTAGGGGCTAGACCCAAAAAAAGTAACAAGAGTTTTCTCACCACATCTCAAATATCAAAGAAGTTGAAAGAACACAAGCCGAAGGATTTTTTATATCAAACAAAATCGTGAAAAACCTTTTCCGTTTCACCAAAAAAAGTCGAAACAACTGCTATCAGTCTCAGGCCAAGATGTTCTCTCTATAAAGGGGGACAAGATTGAGGGCACCTTATGGTTCCATACACCATATAGAAGATCCCTACAAAGGACGACTGGCTCTAGGCGGGAGAAAAAATTGTGCCACATGCAAGCACTGGAACAGGAGCCGGTATATATATGAGCTCTCAAAAGAAATGAAATAAAATGGAACTCAGAATGACGCATGTTGAAAACAAAAGTAATTAATTTATGTGGCCGAGTTGGAACTTCGGAAAAACAATACAAAAGATATTTTTTGACAGGCGTAATTACAAGGAACGATTTGGATTTTTTTTTTGGTGCAGGATGAATATTTGCTAATATAGTCAGTTTGAATCGATTCTCTCCAATAGATGCTGTAAGTTTAAGACAATTCTCTGTTTTACTATTAGAAGGTATACTTACCACACCAACCAAATAAGGACTGCCGGCGTCACCCAACGCATGGGATACGAGTAGCTGGAACCCTTCCGCCGTTGATCTCCTGATGGGCAACACCACATACTGAAAATCAAATGGTACGCGATTTGAAGACCAATATACCTTGGCTAATAACTTTCACGCCGAGGACGCGGAATTGCCATGTTTAATATATTTTTTAACATTCTCTAATAAAAGAATACAAAATATATTACACTCGCAAACTCAATGACCTGGTGGAAGCATGTGGAGAACGGAAACCTTGTATTTATTTATTCGTGAAATATCAACACGGACCACTAAAGTACTTCTATAAGGAAATCTTTAGACCTGCAAACGTAATTTTTGACACTAAAATTTAAAACAACTCAAATAACGTCATGACGGTACAGGGTACTGAATATGAAATATGTATAGCGAGTTCGGAGGAATTCAGCCTGCATATGTAGTAATATAAAATTTTAAAACTATCCGAACAATTTTTGTCTTAGTTTTTTTTTACCTTCAGTAGATAACCCAGTTTCCAAAAAAAATGTTTTTTTTTATTTAATTTTTAGACAAAATATGTTTAGCTGTTACATTCTGTAATCCTCCATCCTAGCTTTGGACGACGACAAGACAAAAACTTAAGTTTAGACCGGTATTTTTTTAACTGTACTTCACGACAAAAGAGGCTGCTTTTTGTACACATAAGACTAGACAGTTAATCCTTTGGACTATTAGCGAAATGCTTATAATAAAACAATAGCACGTATCTTACCAGGGCTATATCGACAACGATAGCCCAGTTCCAATTTAGGGTTGTCTGTCCCAAAAATAACAAAATGTACGCCCCCGCTTCGTGGGTGAGCACGGTGTAGGACGCCGCCACCAAAAGGGGTGAGGATAATAGCAATCCGATACCGCAAAAAATCGGGTCGATCCTGAGGAACGTTTGACGCAGGTACGGGGCCAAGGTGCCACCGATGGTAACACCCGTGAGACCCGAGATCATGGTCACGAAACCGAACAGAAACTTCGCTCTAAAACGTTTTCAAAAATTATTACCGAATGCCAAACGACCTTCATTCGACCTTAAGTCTTCCTGGCCTTGTAATCTTTGAATTTTATTTATCGTTTATGTGATATTTACAGCGGGTCGAATTTGAATTTGAATTTCCCTGAATAGACGGGCTAATTCGAGACTACCGGCACTAAAAACGCCAGAAAAAAAAACGGATTTATTTAAAAATAATTTTTAATTATTTGATTCTGAATTCTGGATTCTCTTTACGCAGAAGTATTTAAAACTTAACTTAAAGAAACATTTTTTGTAGGTTTAGCAGAAGAGTGTTGCTCAGTTTTGGTTAGTTTATATTTAATTCAACTAGTTTTCCAGATATCGGCAAAAACAAGATAAAAATAGGATTATTTTTATTTTAGCCCAACAACTTTGCCGCACCATTTTTTTTGTTCAACGCATTCTTCGAAAATTTTTTATTTATTTTTGGTGTTTAATAATAGTAATTATTTGCCGACAACAAACCTAGATTTGTTGCAAGCTTGGATTCGAAGCTTTATATTATAATTGCCTGCCAATTATCATAAGCTCTCTAACTTCACTTCCAGTTTGTCTGTGAACTAGACGCAATAATAATTTAAGCATCACACATTTTGTTATTCTGGTATTTAGAGAAGTTTTGTATATACATCTTTTTGTGTATAAAATAGATAATATGGTTGCCTGGTATGGAGACGTAAAGTTTAACAAAAATTTTTACAATAATAATAGACATAACACTCATAGTGCCAACATTTATATAGGTTATGCTGTAATATACAAAACGTCGAAACGCCTTTTAAGCATGTCTTGTTTAAATATTAATTATATTAAATTCCATAGAAGAACCAAAGAAAATTTCCGATCCAGATGACATTGTGATGGAGGCTGCTTGCTGTTACATTATTTTTGTTGACAGAGCCGAACCTTCTATACGTCGTGCTATAAGAGATGTAAATAAGATTCTCCATCTAATTTTTGACTTACCAATATCGGATTTAAAATATACGCGTTTATAATATCAAGCCAAATTTTTAGTTCATGTATTTGTCTAGGATCATTTATAGACCAGTATCGCGTATTTTGTCTGTTACAGCTTTTTCTTGTAGTGAATGAACTTTCGTAGGCTCATATATTTTTGTAAATTATTATTTTTAAATAGAATGTGATGATATTTCTGAGTCCTGTCTCTCTTCTGGTAGGCAAGAGAAACGGGATGTGTTCATGGACCCCGAATATATTTGTTTTATTTTCTTAATTCAAAACCGCTCTTTGAAATTATAACAAAATTTCATATTTTCGCCAATATCCCCAAAAAAAGGAATAAAATATAAAGTGTAATACTGATAAAATATACATTGAAAAAAAAACAAATATCAAGTAAGTGTTTTTTTATATGTCATTTAGGAAAAAACTTGGCTCTTAACCTTTGTTTTTTATTTGGCTTTTTGAGGTCTCCCAGTTTCTTCTAATGAAAAAATAATTTCCGTAACTCTCAAGTGACCCTTTAAATCCTATAAATGTCAACTCTGTTCACGAAGAAGTCTTCAGAGGTAAAATGCATAATTTAATTTTATTAAATTATGCGTTTATTAATTTAATTTTCCTTTTCTAAGTATTTCTTTTATTCCACGACAAAAGCGGCCGTTCCTTGCACACCCGATGAACGCTATCCTTTTCACCACTAGCGAAACGCTTATAAAAAGTAATAGCAAAAAAAAATAAGCGTACTTATTAAGAAACAGATTAAGCAAGACAAGAGATCAAGCGTTGTGTAAAGATATAAACCCCGTTGCTTCAAACGTTTATTCCAACTTTTTTGTTACAATTGCAGTTTTCAGCTAATATGTATACGTCAGGGACAAGATTGCAAAATCCATACATAAGGGAGCATAGTAATTCTTTTAAATACCCACTGAAGGCGAGAGGCTAGCATACATTTAATTGTTGCAACGGAACCATTCCTGCTAGCTCCTTAACCAAGGCACAACATTTCTTTTCATTCACTGTTTAGTCAACATATTCAACATTTGTCTGTCTGCAGTTTTATCAGCGCAGTAAATAAAATTATTGCACAAGTTTGTTCTGTGGTTGGGCATCCTCCTCCGAATTTCATTCGTTCAGTCATTTCAATATCAAAGCTAGTTAACGTTTTCCCTATTTTAAAGTCAGCATTCTTTTCACAATCATTTGAATCAATTAGATTAGAAAATAAAAAGTTAAAAAGTTTCGACAAGTTGGATGAGATAGCCTGTTCGCTATGAGTACTAATAATTTTGTATTTTTCGGATTTCATTCTAAGTATTTTCGGCATCAACATCGGAACTAGACATTTTCAGTTTCTTACTACAACAATAAAATATTTTTACCACACTCTTAAGTCTGGTTCTAATTGATTCATCATTTATACTTATTCTTAAAATAATGACGTGGAAGCGACATTATTAGATATTTTGAGATGATGGAAAGCACAGCCTTTTTTCGAGAATAATCGACGACCAAGTTAAACGTAAGTTTTTGCCTTGTCCGCTAAAACCGCACCTTCGTACTTACCAATAAAATGTCCGCGACTATGGACCAGGTGAGGTTGAGGAAGAACTCGCCGAAGAACACCATAGTGAAACACACGGGGGCCGAATACTTCGCTGAGAAAATGGCGAAGAAGACGAAGGGGCTCGACAGGAGCAACCCGAAGCCGCAAATATAGGCGTCGATCCGGTGGACCCTATGGCGCAGCCTCTGGGCCAAGTAGGAGCCCGTAGGTACCCCGATCAAGCCCGAAATCATGGCGACGATGCCGAAGCGGAAAGAAACGCTGCAAAGCCCAAGGAATGGAAAAAAGGAAGCCGAAAGTGTAAACGAAGCCGATGGCGAATTAAATACGAAAAAAAAAAATGCGTTTTTTTTTTTGACAAAAATCTAGAAGCAATCCATACAATATACGAAAGTGCTATCATAGTATACAATAAAGGGTTGGTCACGTTTATTATTGGAATATACCAAATAGTAAGAGACGCAGTACAGGAGAGTTTACGCTTCGGTGAGTTTGGTTAGTTGTAAAAACATTAAAATTAACTTGAACATATTTTTTGTTCCAATTATTTTGTTCAAATCGTTTACCTTCTTATAAAACCTCGCTTATACTCCAGTCAGAGCAATTGTGCTGTTAAACTAAAACTGACAAACAAAATTCCTGACGTAACTGCACACTTGCCCCGACGAGACTGTAAAAAACCTCTATGCGCTTAAATTTTGGTAATATTTAAAACTTTTACTCCCAATTTCCCAGCCTAATAGATTGCCGTTAACCTTATAACAAAATAAAGTGTTATAACTGCAAGTATATGAAAAAGTCTGAAAATTTCTTATTTGGTACAAAAAATGTATCTTGCAATTTATTTTTGTTTGTTTATGTCAATTCGAAAAAACACAACAATTTCAAGTAATATTAAATACCTTGGAAACTTTTAAACACTTATCTAGGAATCTGATACCTAGTGTTGAGACTGGTCAATTTGACCACTTCTTAATTGACTAGTCAAATTCGATCAAAATCTTTTAACTATTTAATCTTTTAATTATTTAATAATAATAGTATTTTAAAATAAATTTTATGCGTTTGTTTTCAAGGAATACCCGAATACCATACTAGCGATTAGGAGAATCGCAATAAAAATATCAACACTATTTAGTATTTTTAAAATTATTTGGGCCAATTGACCAAAAAATTGACAGGTCAATTCCACAACGCAACTTATAGCAGTATATATTGCAAATCGGTACAAAACTAAAAGTAACAGGACAACCAATTGAACACAATAATGTAATCATAACCTGGAAACAAGTGTTTGGTTTTGGTTAGTAATAAGTTTTTGAAAAAAGTTCGGAATTAAACTAAACATGCGTTTTAAAATTGTGCAAAGGAAAGAATTTGGGAAAGCAGCACCATCTTTGACGGTAGTTAAAAACGCATGGCAGTTCAAAGTAGCTTCAGAATATTTATTAGGTGTTTTACGATTAATAACGGGTTTATGGAATAAGCGATAAAACCCCCAAAAGGAAAAGTGTTTTAGGGTTTTTAACCAACACCACAGGTTTTATAGATAAAGTAACTGAAACGTTTTGGATGTAAGATTATAAAATTTATAGTGGTATTTATCGAATGTCTTACAAAACTATAAAAGCTATTATAAAAGATTTCTTATAAATCCCTTACAATACAACCATAAGCTCTGAGAAAATGTATATTGTATAAAAAGATCTCGTCTAGTCTTGTCAATAGTCAATAGATTTCAATTCCTAACAAAATATTTAATAAAAAGAAAACATTTTCGAAAATGTATTTTGAAGCTTTGGTTAGTTTTGTGATACATTAAACAACCCTTCAACCGTTTCAAAATCGACGTTTGCCCCTAAATTTTTGTCAGTTTTAATCAAAAGGGGCCAATCAAAACATACATTCCAATAATAAATAACAAGCGCATATAAGTAATAAAAAGAAACATTCATTTTTTTTGCAATCCCATGAAATTGAACTTTTTCGATTTTTTTATTGCAACAATTAATCAAAATGATAATTTATCTTTAATCGAACCGATGATGTGCGATTTAAAGACCCTCTACAATAAAATTTACAAAACCGTCAAATAGAGAGGTTCGACAATAATATGGAACTTGCCTATCTTCCGCGCCGGGATTCCCCTGAATGTTCAGTCCCTTTTCTATGAACTTAGGACCCCACCAAGCCAACGCCCCGGCCACGAAGGAAACGCAAGTGAAACCCGCGGTGGAGAGTATGTAGCTCTTGCTGAAACACAAAAATCACTTGTGTGTTAACTTTTAAGGATACGTATACATTTCAAATGTGACAACGGTGTGCATCTGGAACGTCATTTCGATGTTCGGCATAAAAACATCGAACATTATCAACGACGAGATTATCCACGCAAAGTCGGAGCTACTGTCTCCGTCGTTCCTCTTCAATAATTGCAACCAAGATTTTTAATATTAATATCTTTTTATCCATAGCCAATGGTCTAGTCTCAATTTCCAGTAGGTTGACAATAAAACTAGGTCCGACATAAACTAAATTAAATGAAATAAAAAAAAACTTCACATCAATTACAAGTCTAAAAATAATAATAGATAATGCTTAAGGGAGCAAAAAAGTCGATTTGGTTGTGATCATTAGTAAGTCTAGCTGATCTGTAAATAAAAATATTAAACCCATTGTTAGTACGATGTATAGATGGGGAGGTCAAAACTGTCCCTCGCTCCGGTAGTCCTGGGCCGAACATGACTGCACATTTATGTAATGAGAAAATTCGAAACCTGGAGTCAACGAGACTATACAAGGAAAACTTGTGTAAACATATAATAGAAATACAAGGGTCTTGAAAGATTAAAAATGCAGTTTGAAAATAAGAAGAGTTGAAAATAAATATCAAGACATTTCGATACGATGATTACACAGTGTCTTCCCCAGAACAACTTGGTTTGTTTCGAAACTTAAGCTAATTAGAAAAGCTTGGATTTTTTTATGTTGGAGTTTATAGCCTAATCAATATTATGGATATAGTAAAAAACACTGGAATACTTAAATATCTCCAAAACTGTCAAAGCTGGACCGGTAAAATTCAATACATGGGAGTTTTTGAACATGCAGAATTAAAAACTGCTAACTTTTCACCGATATAGTTCTATATTTTTCTATGTTTCGAAAATCTCCAAAATTGTAACATATTAAGAATTTTGTTATTAACCTTTTTCAGCTTTGGAGATATTTAAGCGTTCGGGTACTTTTTACCCACCCGGTATATTATATAGTTTTGTAGATGGGAAAAAACCGTTTCGTTAAGAAACGCGGAAATAAAGATGATAAAAGTGCAAAGAAAGATGAATGTACTTAGTATAGAACACAATGTAAATCTAACAGTAGTAAAGAATAAATATTTTATGTTAATATAGCTTATGTGTCGTTTCATTTTCTTTTATCTCTTAGACCCTGTAACAAACATGTACAATGACCATGTCATTGTATATGCATTGGATGATGAATATGAAGATCGAACTTCATACTACCAAATAGACAAAATACGTTTTCAAAAGATAATAATGCATACAAAGTATATTTAGGGTAAATATTAAGACACCCAAAAAAAATTGAAATCTGCGTCCAGCAGAGACAGAGACATGTTCTTTTTTTCAGGCATAAATGATACAGAGGAAGAAGGAAGTCAAACAGTTCACGTCAAACTTACTTTTTCAAGAGTTCTTTTATATCTTCGCCCCACGAGGTGGCCTCCATGTGGACGTTACCTTCACTGGCACCGCGTTCCGGTTCCTCCAGGAACACCACTATCATGAAAACAGCGACGAGGCCCAGGGCGGGAGTGACCCGGAGAGCCCAGTGCCATGAACCCGCCAAGCTGGCCGTTTCCGAACCCACTATGTAGCCCAAACCGCTGTAAAACACGTAGACGGTGCTCTTAAATTTACAAATAAACCTATCCAAGGCTTTTGACATTACACTAGCTTTGAAAATGAAGAACTACATTCTTTTTTAGTAGATTATTTGCACGAGAAAAAACAATATGTTCACAATTCTAATTATTTCGGTTACGCAGACGATTATTTCAAAAAATTTTCCAGTTTCTGTCAATTTCATTGGTCATTGGTAAACTAAAGTAAATGTATCTTTCATTTATCCAACACAAAGCAGCAGCTGTAAAAATCTATCTATTGATAGCGTTCCCTTAAAACAAATAAGTATTTGCGTTTTCGTGAACAACTAAAAACATTTTAAATTTAAATATCCTTCTGTCCTGTGTTCATATTTTAAAAATAAATAATTACAGGGTGGTGAAAAAGTAACATTAAAAATTTAAATGAGAAAATAGTTTTTTTTTAAGTACTCACACCCCATTTTTTATAATTTTATCAAAATTTGCGTTCTAATAAAGTATGACTACTAAACCAGACATCCACTGGGAGTGATTTGGTACAAGACGAATTAAAGTGTACAAGGTGTCCACTTTAAGATATTTTCAGAGTAATACCTACTTAATATACATTAATAAATATTTAAATGAATAGGTAATATCGAAAATTATATTTATTATGGTGACCAATTAAAAAGAAAAGTACGGTCCGATAACTTTTATTTAAAAATTTCCTCGTATTACTCAAAAACTACAGGTGCCATTTAAAAACTGATTCTAGAGTGCGCGTAATTTCAGAATGGGACAGCACGTGACTATTGCCATTGTGGCTACGGTGGGCCGGTGCCGTTGCCTAGGTAACCAGTGGATAACATCGACTCGCAGCAGCAGCGTGTCTCTATTTTGTGTTCTGCTTTGTGCGTGTTTATTTTATACTTTGTTGATTTTCAGCATTTTGTAGTTGTTGGACAATTTGTACAATTATGGTTAAAAAAAATGGTATGAAAAGGAAAGTGTGGAAGTTCTCAGTCGTCATTTTATAGTATCAGGATTTATGCGCAATGCAAAAGTTTCAAAAACGAAAAGGGTTGAAGAAATCTTTTTTAAGCCATCATTTGTTTCATAAAAAAGTAAAGTGAAAATAATATATCTCTATTTTTAAGGATAACTTCCTGGGCGTCGGAAAAGATGGAACATCGTGTAATACTTGGAACAATCAAGCCGCACCTAACCGCTAAAATGCATCTTTATGACGCGCTGGGAGGATTATTTGTGGAACTCGAATAGGCCCGTTTAACGATCCCTTTGAAGATGACACCAAGAAAATCCGCCGACGTTGCCAAATTGTATCCGATGTCTAAGTTTATTACGGAAATAAATAGGGGGCCTGTGGGAATTTTTCATTCGGCCGACCGGGGTGGTCCCCGCCTTTTGATTTATCGCGTAACGGGAGTGCGTACTAAAAAAACACGAGAATGATTCATAGAAAACGCATCCGACACGCGACAGGAAATAATCGACTTGTAAAAATATTCCTCGCTCCTTTGATTCTTGTTGACAGTTGTGTTTAAGGTTTTTAGAATCGGGCGGCAGCCTGCTTAAAGACAACTTTATAAACCGCCACTCTGCGGTAGAACTTCAGTAATTAATTGTCTTATGAAATTATTTGTAGAGGACAAAAATATATAAAACCAAGCGCGATTTATTTAAAAAAATCCTTCGAAATAAAATTAGCGGGAAATAAAAAATAGTACATTTTCATTTTTTTTTTGGATTATTCATAGTCAAAATTTCGATTTCAAAACCTATCAAATAATTTAGAACACCGTAAAATTCAACCCTTCAATTGAAATTCATTGATTCTATTTTTTTTTTCGTGTTTTTTGATATATGTGGAAAATGATTCGTCTCTTTTGTGACATTAAATGCATTTATATTCTGTAGCTTGTGTTTGTCGTTTTTAAATATTTTTTTATAAACGTGCATAAATAGAGTGATGAGGGAAGCTTTTTAATTCATAAATTTTTTCAACAGAATTTTTTAATTACGTTAAAATTGTTTCATAAAGATATCTTCCTACAGAGAGATCTCTATCGCAAAAGATCCCAACAAAACAATGCTAAATTTATGATCAGGTATTTTTAAATAAAAAAAAGTGTTTTTTTTTTGTTATTACTAAATAAATAATTAAATATATTCAATGATTACAGGACGTCTCCTGTAATATTTTTGTTGCCTTTGTTAACCTTGTTTGGTTTAATTTCCCTGGGATGGTGTTGAGAATAAAGCTAGTGGTTCTGAATTTGTTGCTGAGAAAACTAACCAAAGTTGTCTTTCTATTGTATGCAAATTAATGTGACTCTAATTTAAGTCTTACAAAATTAAATACGGAAAATTATCATTACAGTTTATCTGAACAACATGTTATTACTCTCTCGCATTAAGAAACAAGCTATAACGGTAAATGCCCACCTTCCAACCGGAATCGCGAAGTAGAACAACGCGAGCATCTTGGATCGAATATCTCCTACGAAAAGATCGCTGATAATGGTTGGAGCTATAGTGGAGTAGCTAGCTTCCCCTATGCCGACCAGCGACCTGAATAGGAGGAACCACCAATAGTTCTAAAACAAGACACACGTTGGTTCACGGATGAACGATATCATCTTTCTTTTCACCTGCATAAACGACCCGCATAGGGTGGTGACGCTCCATAAAAACACCCCGAAACTCATCAGCCACCGTCTGCTGTACCGGTCGCCAAGATATCCGAATAGCGGCCCGAAGGCCATATAGCTCACCACGAAAGCGGTCTGCAGGAGACCCGCGCGACCATCGTTGACACCGAAGTACGTTTGAATCTCCTCCAGCACCCCTGGAAAAATAAGAGGTTGCCATTACCAATTTCTATTTATCGAGAATAATAACGGATAACAAAATTCCATAACAATTATTCGGTATACAATAATAATCATAATAATTTTATTCACGTATTGATAAACAATGAAAAGGACACGGTTCGGATGAACAAAATAAGATATTTTGTGGCTCCGTTTTTAAACCTATCCTAAGAAGAGGGTAGCGGCGCTAGGCAGGAAAAATACACATCAAAAAATAAATAAATAAATAAATACCTAGTACGATCTGTGCAAATAGAGGGACTCACACAAATATTTAATGATAATAATATTTCACGCAGGTGTGTGGAAAAGGTATTGTTTAGCAATTTAAGAGACTGATCCAATTATATGTTTTAGCCATGCCATATGTAAAGAATCTCTCAAAAATTCTAGATGTGTGACGTGGAGGGGTGAGCAGGCCTTTAAATATTAAATTTAAATTGTGAATGTCCGTGCGAAAGCTGACTTTTTTGAAAAGATAGCGTGGAGACTTCAATCTTATAGTTTTGTGATAGAGATTACGTTTATGGAGATATCGTCGATTTTTCATATTAAGCCATCGGACTTCCTTCAGTTTATGACTAACAGACCTGCCGCGTTTAATCCCAAAAATGAATCTTAGACATTATTTCTGGATTTTTTTAATCCGTTCTGAGACAGCCGCTGTCCGACATGGGCCATAAACGACATCACAGTGGTTAAAAGAAGATAAAACTATCAAATCACACAATGATTGATTTAAAATATTTTTAGAACCAAATAAGCTTTTTAAGTGAGCAATGGATTTTTTAATAGATTGTGTAACGTGACCAATACGCTTAAATTGAACTAAACCAAAATACAAAACTATAAATACAACGAAAAGAAAAAAATCATTGGAAATTTAATTTTATTTGCATTTTAAAAGAATGTAGATCTAAGTTAAATATTCATAACGATTTTTTTTTACTCCCTTCTATAAAATACCTTATTATACACCGATCTAGCATACGGAAAATGTTATTATACCACGTCAGTTTCGTTTTTCATAGATCCGAGCCACTTCGGACAGTTAACGGTCGTATAAAAAGTATAGTATACAAAACGTTTCGTAAACTTTTTAAGTCACTCGCTTATTAAACACTCGCTCAGCTGCGCTCCGCTCGTGCCAAACAAACTTGTGACTCAAATGCCGTTTACTTGCTGCGTAAATACTATTTTATAGTTTCTCCATTTTTCATAAACCTTGCTATACTGATATTATAGATTGACCTCCATACCAAACTAAATTCTAAAGCTTTTACAACTGAATTAAAGATTATCAAACAAATAGCTTTTCATAACAATACTGCAACTGTTTAAAAATGATTTTTCTAAATAGTTAAAGAACCTCCTAAATATAATATTTTACTACATTTCGGAAACTGAAGTGAATTTTCTTTAAGGAAATTACTTTGAAAGTCCAAGCATAAAGTCCAACAAATAAAATCAAAAGCTCGTGGTTATATCAAGGGGAAAACGTTTTAATAAGTGAATAAAAGAACATCATAATTAATGAAAAGCTTGCAATTAATTTAAGAGAATGTAAGAATACAGTTCTATACCTGTGAGTATGCAAAAATTTCACCTTTTTAAGAAACTTTTTAAAAGACTCAATACGCAAAAATGTAACGAACTAATTAATTTAAACTATATAAAATTTATTACAATTAAGAAAACTACTTTTGTTATTATGACTGTAATAGTTATTAGGGTACCATATTTAATAAAATCAGCATGATCACGCTTTTATGAATTTTTATGATTTTTCTACATTTATTTACTAAATTACTGTAGGATTCCTTATTATTATAAGCGGTTCTGCGTCATAATAAGATCGTTTATAAATATGTTGGAAAGAGTGGCCCCGAATTAGAGCTCTTGGGGACGCCCAACCAGTGCAAAATAATAAAACTGCTGACTCGTCCTCCCTACAGCGGCACAACTGTTCATCATGAAATGGATTTAATATACATTGTTCGACGCGTTTAAAGGGCTTTAAGTGCTCCATTTTCTCAGCCTACCCATATGAAACCGCACTTAGCCCTGATTAAAAAAGCAATTTATAAACTCGATTTATTGTGTCGCATTGTATGGTACGTCACGTTTTAGATATATATACGAGCCAACTTGCCGGAGCAAAGTAAAACAACTACAGTATATATTACGTTGCCTACGAGAAAGACAATTCGGTTTATTAAAATGCCACTCACGAGTTCGAGTGATTTATGCTTGTATGTGTGAATTGTCGCTCGCAAAGTTGCGGAGTGTATTTATACCGAGTGTTTTACGGATCTTGCCCACTGTATCGATGGGATACCTTGTATATTGTTACGTTTTCTACTCCGCTACTACTTTGACGATTATTTTAATCGAAGAGTAATCCGCAGGGAGAAGAGTCTACACCGCAATTCTTTTACATGCATAATTCTTAGCTGAATTCTTTGGAATTCCTCTGCAATTCGTTGGATTTCTTTAATACTGTACAGTATACTTCCTCTGTGGTTTACCCATCTTTATTGATATTTAATATATTAATGAATTTACATATTTTTCTGAAAGTCGAACATTTAGAAAGCAGAAATGTTTGCTGCAGATTACAAATACCGGGTACTGTGGAGTAATAAATTCTACGATGTTTTACAAAATCACGAACTTAATCGCACATTATGAAATACTTTTTATATTTAGAAAAAAATGAACTAGCCAAAGGATTTATGAAAAACGGACAATAGGCATTGTTTTGACAAACAAAAAAATTTAAAAAAATTGTTCCATCTGACATTTGAATACGCCGGTTCTTAATGCCAGAGAGTTATAATCATTATTGAACTGTAAATCTTAGTAGTCTTACCGTATTCCATAGTAGTACGACCTACCTACCTGTGCTTAGTATTTAAAATTAACATTATAGCTACTTTCCAGCAGTTGTTGGCAAAATTCGTTATTGAAAATGATAAACGGATTAGTTATTATTCTCAATGCGTTTAAAGTTCTTGGCCATCGGAGTTACAAAAATAGTTTCAATTAGTTTATGTGCGAATGTGACTGAAGTTGGACTTCAGCACGCGAGGATAAACGCAACCTCATAAGTTCACCAAAGAAAAACATGACTAAAATTTATAAATGAAGTCGTATTGTAAATATTATAAATTTATTACAATTTATCTATTTTCATCTTATTATTGCTTCTACACAGGTTTTTATTTACTTGATCTTGATTATTTGGATATGTCTATATGTCTTTCATGCACCAAACTAATTTCGTTATTATATGGAAATTAGTGTGATCCTAATTTAGGAGGTATTATGAAGGTCTCAAAACTTGTCATTGCAATTTATCTGAACTTTGCGATATAACAATAATTAATGACCACTGTCATTGCAAATTTCAGTTTCATAACTCTCATCGTTAGGAAACAACATAGTGATGGTGTTGCATGTTTTACCACAGCGTATTTTATTCAAAACTCGCCAATGCTGATAAATACTAAAAAGATTCAAAACAAAAGTTATTCAGATTTACGAGATATTTTAAATTCTTTTTGAAATTTCCGGTTAAAAAGAAAATGCGCTGCAGCGGAACACCCCCAAACCACATTAAATAAAAATAGATAAAAAAATGTATACCGGCCATGTCACAAAATTCGAATTATTTTGTTTCTTTAATTTTACAAATATGTATGTACTAGTTAGCTCATATACTAAATAAGGTGGAGACTGTTATCCTTGCTTGCAAAAAAAATTGGGCCAAACGAAACATCGACAGCGCTACACAGAGGGTAACAACTGGGGCGTGAGGGTGAATATCTATCAACTGTTGCTCCAAAGATTAAATTTTTGGATGTCAGCGACGCAACCCCGGGCCCCCGACATAACGCGTTTGCAGCGTTGCCGACGCGAAAAAACACCTCGCCAGCTCTTTTTTCATGTTTTACCGTTTTCCGTAGGCAATGCGAACTAAAAACAAAGTTTCAGCAAAGAAAAGAACAAATTTACGTCAGTAATTACTTTTGTTTTAATAATGAACGATTTTCCTTAAGAAACAGTATTTATCTGGCATTTATCCATTTTCATAATTCCACTTTCACACTAGAACATATTGATGACACATCCTGCCAAATGGGCGCTGCTTTTTGATCATAAAAAAATTCGGTCGGAAATCATATTCATCGGGGTTACGGCATTATAGGCCGTAATCCAAGCGCGTATCACTAAATCAAGAGCAATCATAAAAGTTTACATAAATATATGCTTTATGTTTTTGAAAAACACGGGTTTTCTAAATATCTCAAACATTCATTGTTGTTATCTATGATAAGGCAATGAATCATTGTGGAGTGCCGGGAGATATCTAAACGCTATTTTCGAGTAAAAAAGGTCCGCCACTCACTATTTCAAAGTTTTATGTTATCCGTATTATACTTTATTGTCGAGGAAATGCAAAAAACCTCTCGATTTCACTTTTTGATCGACATTGTTAAGAGATTAATTTGTTATTTTTAATCACTATTTTTAGTTTCATTAATATAACGAAGATAATGCTTAAATAAATTATGGGGCCACTTTGAGACCTAAAAAGCAACAAAACTTACAACAGTCACATGCGAGAATTCCAAGTTATGATGCGGGTATACTTGTGGGAATGGTTTAAGAAATTTTTCCGGCTGCTGACAAAAGACTAACTATAATAGCTGTTTACGTAATAGGTCCAAAAAGTGCCACTGTACTGGACGAATAGACAAATTGCAAGAGTCGTAGGCGCCCAGTAAAAGCACTTTCGGGACGCGTTATGTACAATATATTATATTTATATAATATATATATATTATATAAATATTATATATATATATATATATATATATATATATATATATATATATATATATATATATATATATATATATATATATATATATATATATATATATATATATATATATATATATATATATAT